TAGTTGCTTTCGCGTACCCATCTAGGCAAGTAGAGGCGGCGGCGACACAGGTGAGGATGTCAAAGCCAGGAATGGAGAGACAACAAGACAGGCATTCATTAACCTGAAATCAGTGTGGAGATCTACTGCACTGCACTGCACTCAGTATAATGTTTGAACAAGATCCGGATTTTCAACACCAATATCAGTCAAGTGAGTCAGTGGTTCAATGTGATAGTGTAGAGACATGGTGCGTTACGAAATGCATTTCCAACAAACTACATACACTCATCAACAGCTGTCGCCTATGTTCACTCGATGCTGGTGATCAGATGGCCAGAAAAATAAGAATAAGCGACACGGAACTCTGGCTGGCTGTTAGCAAAGTAATGAAGTATCTACCACCGAAGAAATATGTAGAAGAGAGGGGAGATGGATTGGATTGTGCATACGCTGAGACAACTGATTGTGGACATTACGTTTCATGCCTGTCCGTCGAGTATTACTTGTATTGAATGCGAAGAGTTGGATGTCTTCTTGGGATATTAAACAGTTCCTGTGATGAAGGATTGAAATCTTCTTGGCTGGCGTTCCTGGAGTCAGGTTTTGATTGGTTACAAGAAACAGACTTATATAGCGATGTGCTGCTGAAGCCCTATGTTCTACTAGGAACCCAACGGATAAATTATCATAACTATAATAATGGACTGAATCGCTCTATTTCTGTTGTTAGATAGGCTTTTATGCGTATGCTTTTGTACTGCTGCTTATTCTTTATGTAACATTTATCTCGGTAATTGGCAATGGAGTCCGGGAACCACGTTTCGTCCTATTTAGGACTCGGTTTAGTGGTGTACACTCCGGTGTTTCAAGTGATGTGTGCTGGGTCCGATCCACAGTGGGAACCACATAACTCACTGTGGCGCAGGTACATCCATTTGTCGAGTCCCAATTAGGACGAAGCGCGTATCCTGGTAGTCTCCGAGATCAATATATGTTGACTGTAATTTATAACTGTAAATGGGATTTCCAAAGAAATCTTAATCTCATATATATTAATCGAAAGTTTGCACATAGTGATAATAATTCGAAAAAAATTACTGCCCGTGACTGAAACAACAGTTGAAACATTTGATTGATAATTGACTGAAATAAAAGCTTACTTTTGTTTGTAAACTTTTCATTGAAAGTGCATTTATAATACATAATTCTATTCCGCAGTACACAATATTTTCATCATTACCACAAAATTTTGTAGGAATACACTACTAGTTGTAATTTTAAGTATAATGTTGGTGAGAAACTGATTACTTTTCTTTGGTGGTTCTGACCAACATTAAGGTGGTCTTTGAAAACTGGTATGAACCAAGTAATCACGTTCGTATGGGCAAATTTTAAGATATATCTTTGTGTTTGCCACGAAATTGCTACCATGTACTCTGCACTTCGAAACTTCTTGTTGAGAGTGGATTTGCTGTTCAAGGTAAAGTATGACAGTGGGGAAACTATTCGATTCCAGCTGTGATTAAGAGATAGAATTTATTTAATTTCCTATACTCCTTAGTAGTGTATAAGAATTCTTGCTGTTATAAAATAACTGCAATAAATTGCTTATGAATACTATGTAAGTATTTTGAAGACGCTTTCAATTATAGTTAAAAGTTTTAGAAAGTATCTTTAGTTCACTTCTTACATTTTTCACATCTAGTAAATGCTTGGATTTCATCGAGAACTTTATTAGTTGATGAAATGATGCTCCTGTAATCAAACAGATTAAAAGTGAATTCCAGCACAACTAACACCATAGGTGCATCATTGTTTGAATGTGAAAATGTCGGTTTCTGAAGCATTTCACTGAGGGGATGTAGATGTTAAGAACTAATACAGTTTCATTGACCAACTGGAAGCTTATTACAAGAAGAAAGCGGTATCATTACGGATACTTCCTTCAGTTGCACTAACGAAACATTCCAAAGTTGTACTTGAGGTTAAAATAGGCTGCCTCTGGTAACAACATACTTTCAGCCTATACCTAGAGTTCCGATGACTAGCATAAATAATGTTACCTGAATTTTTTTATGACTGAAGGTAATTTCAAGTAACTTCAAGTAATTCAAAGCAACATTTTGTAGACAATCATCTTTCCATGTATTTGGATATTCGGATAAGTTCATGTTAACTAATATGCATCAACATTGAAGGTTACTAAGGCAGCAGCTTAGTAACCAAAAGTGAGTGATACTAACTTAGGTTTCAACAATTAAAAAAAATCAAGCTTCATTTGGTTAGTTACTCAGTTAACGTGGAGTACTTGCGACGAAACGATATTTCAATTTAGTATCTAAGACTAGTGAGTGTGGCCCAAGATAGCATAGAAACAAAATGTGATCAATTTGGAACAATCAGTTCCACTAAATGAATTCCAATTAAGCAAGAAGAAGATATAACCTGTTCGAATAACGAGTTGATTAACATGACGAAATTTTGATGAGTGAGTCGCAATCAAAGCGGGTAGTAGTAGTAGTAGCAGTAGTAGTAATAGTAGGGGTAGTAGTTGATAGTATTTTGGAAATGAATGGAAATGAAGATTCGGTAGGAGGGGGAGACGTCTAAAAAAGGCACAGTTGCTAAGATGAGTGAGCGTCAGTCAATAACCCTATAATAGAAACTAAATGAACGTGATCAGTTTGAATCAATTTGCTTTCCTAATTAGTTTCAATTAAACAAGATAAACACGTAAGTGTCCGAATAACAAGCTGAGTAATATAACAAATACTAATGAATGAATGACTTGTAAGTCGAAGTCCATATAGAAAGAAGTAGTAGTTGATAATATATGGGAACTGAGTGGAGATGGGGATATTCAGAAACACAAAGTTCCTGCTTTTTTCTGTACTATACGCAGTACCTAATTGTAGCTAAATGAATAAATACAATGGGACGTGACTTTATCGTTCGCCTGTTCCAGGAGCTGTGATGGGTATATGTGCTCTGACTTCTCAATTATCCGAACCTTAGCTTCATAATATTTAGTTATCATTCTCCGTTCTACACTTCTTAAGCACCAACTAATCTGTAATACATTCATTCGGTTGATAAGTGAAGTAATTAAACATGGATAATCATTTCTGATTTATTTAAAAGAACGAAAGAAGTCATTCAAATCACATTTTGGATGGCTTTGAGAAGGGTCTTTACTCATTCACCTCCCGTCACGAAGTAGAAATTCAAATCTGATATAGTTTATCTTCATCTGAAATCTGAAAGTGAAGTGGATACAGCTGCGCTAGTCAAAGATGCAAATTACCTGTTTTAACGAAAATCCTTTTAACTGTCATTGACATTACCTTCCTGCCAAGGGTTGCCATCAGTTGCAGGGCATTCTAGACAAAACCTTCTCTTGTGTGGATTCTGTGCTCAGAATATACAGAATATTGCATGACAACGGCATGCTATCCATGTACCGGCATGTGGAATGGAAGTTGGTGCATCACTTTGGAAGCAAACCTCACAAACTCCTCTGTAAACATATTCCTCCTCTTCGTCTACATCTACATGGTCTATCTCCTCAGAGTTCCAAGTAACCAACTCCATAGCCCCTGTTTGATCGTCAACACTGGCTTGTAGGTCAACGTTAAAGTTATTTCCTAGATGAGTTATTGCTACTAAAGGTGACTACGAAATTGTTTCAAATGGAGTTATTGGTCTTCCACCGTAGTCGTATTCACAGCTGCAGCCGTCACCTTCGTTTCTTCTTCGGAATCACACGACAAACTTTGTCTTGCAAGATGTTCTGGACTTGGATCTACTCGAATAAGTGTCTTGCCATCGAAAATTTTCCGCAAAAACCGCAGGACTGCGGGGCAAGTTTTGAATCTACAGTTGCAACGTTAGTATTAGATGATGGAAATATTTCGTATTTCGCTAGCGGCCTGCTTGAACTTTGAGCCAGCAAAATGCTTTCGCCGGATTTATAGTATCATCGTCTTCCCTTTCAGTTTCTATTATTCTTCCAAGTACGTCTTCCAGACTTATCACGTACTGTTGCACATCTTATAAAAAAAATGTTTTCAACTAGTGGTTTTTTCGAGTTAAAAACGAAACGAAGATAAATGTCACGTTAGGCTCATTCTACAGTTTATTCTGCATCCTAGATCGGCTACTAGTACAACATCAGCTAGCTGCTTTTCATTATTGCCTTTAGTGCTGCTATTATGAGCATCATTCAGATGCGATAATCATTTTGTTTAAAAGCATTGTTCCGGGGATCAATCTGCTAAAAGATCACACGCTGAGAACTCCACACTTTATCAAACTTCTTGTTCGAAACGAAGCTTTTGTTATAATTATCATTACTATCACTCTTTATAAGGAGAGTGTATCCGACAGACAAATTCTATAGTAAGTACTTTTATAAGTGCTATCACCACCCGTTGTCAAGTAGAATAGGAATATGATACAGGGCGGTATCATGCGGTCACTGTAAAATACTAGTAGGCGAATACGTGGATGTGATCCTGGAAAGAAAATAATAGGGAACTTGAAAGTCCCTTAATAAACAGCGTTTATTCGACAGGTATTTCAGCATATCGAAAACCAACTCCACAGTTCTCCAGTGAAAAGAATGTTTAATAGGATGGCTTTCATTATTGCCACGTGCTTTACGTGCATTTCTTCACCTTTCGTTGGCGTTACTTTCTTAAAAGTGGAGTTTATTACTACCATGTCATCACACATTTTGTGCAACTAAATTTATTTTCTTTAGAAACATTAAAATATTTTGATGCAACTACAGTAGTTTTCCGAGAAGTGAATATATAATTCAGTAAAAAAAACATGTAAAAGCTCTTTTTCAGTTAGCTGTATTTCCACAGCCCACATTCTTTGCCTATACTGTTTGCTTATCCAACCAAATAGTTTATTAACGTTGTTTTTGTAAAATTAAATGATTTGCTGTTCCACAACGAATATTGAGTGTGCAGACGACTAAATACATTTTTAATGTTTTCCTTTTTTAAAAGTGGATAGCTGAATTGGTTATTTCAAACAGACGTCAGCCATCAGTCAATTGTCCTTTGGAAGTACTAATGCGCGAAATTAGGTAAGATTAAAAAGAAATCATTATTGAGTTACTTCAGTGTCTAGGTGTTAGATTACTTCAAATTTATTCATAAAAGGTTTTAAGCAAGTTAGTTATTATTGTCGTCTATAAAATGTTTTCAAGAATAATCACCTATGCACTAAAGTATTAGTCTCATGAAGATTGAAAGATTTTGAATTTATTTAGCTGTAACTTCCCTTTTAGTGTATTGCTGGCTTCAGTTGCATGCTGATTAAATATCTCTTGCCACTTAACTGAGGGGCAGATGCCAACATATTTTCGGTCCTAAAGTTTTTGTGCTTTTAAGCGTTTTGGTTTCCATTTTCAAATGAATCACTCTGTCGATTATATGGTAAATATGTTTTTTACGTAGAATAAACGAGCACATTGTCTTCCCTGTTTGCCATGTGATATATTTTTTAAGTGAATAAACCTTGCACAAATATGGAACTATCTTGGAGTTCAGGTAAATGTTTCAAAGTATGGCATGTGTCTGCCAAAGATGAATTTTTGTTACGAAACCCATTTAGGTTATATTTTCTGAAAATATCCAAAAGGATTTCACCCTGTAAATATTGACTGTTTTCTGCTCAGAAATATTTGGTAAATATTGTTTTATTCTTCATCGATATAGTGTACTCTGGAAATGATAGAAAGTAATCCGTTTCATGCAGGACTTAACTGTCGCCTAACTGAAAAGCTGGTGGAAAAGATATTTTAATCATAAGGAGTAGTCTTTCAGTCACTTAGCTATGTTTATTCTTCGTATAATGTTTTTGTTTATGAAGTGAATTCTAAAGTAAAAATGTAACCGACTATCAAGATATTTTTCGATTTGAACAAGTACATGATAATAATAATAGACTGATCTATGTTTACGAAAAGCAACATTGATTCATGACAAAATAACATGGCAACCAGCTGGTTGATTAACTGAATTTGTGGCTATAACTGTAGTACAATTTCTTGATCTTGATTTTGCATAAAAGTTATTTTCTCTTTTTCTGTAAATCCACTAATGGTATATTCGTTCTTCTTTTGGTCAAGGAGATTACTACCATGTTTTAAATTTACCAGTGGCTGACTTTGATGTTTTGCAGCAAGCACTTACATTTTGTCACTCACTAATCCCATGATGCCTGTTTTCTTGCACCACTTTTTAATCCCATCAACTCACCACTTACAATTCAAGTTTGGACACTTTAAAACTGCATGGATTGTGAATTCCAAGCTGTAATACTTCATTTATAACTTCTTGAATTTATCTGTAAGCATTTTGTCTTGCATTCTTTAGATCTACTGCAACCTTTCTAGCCTCACTTCACAAGCCTACATATTAGCATCATGACAATAAATACTCAGATAATCTGATTTTTTAAAGTTCAATAAGTGTATCAGCCCACACCATCACTATGTGTATAGGCATGCTTCATCATTCGTAATTACCCAGTTATTGAAAGTTCTGTTCATGGAAAGGGAGGTTCACTTATCACTCAGCCGCCTCAACCATGTAATAACATTAGTCAGGTATGTAAATGAGTAGTACATCACTTTATCTTGCTTTATTCAGTGTTGATGTTAGGAAGATACAAATTCATAAGAATTCCGATAGGTGCTACAAGCATGCAATTTTTTGGTGCTAAAATTTAAGTTGAAGGATGTTTGATTACCGCTTGCATTTCAGTGAGCATGAGAAATAATTTTCGCGTATAGAATCACTACTACAAGGGGAAAATAATAATGACCTAGGTATGACTTGTTTTCTGCGATAATGTGGACTGTATTAAGAAAGTGATATGAGAAGAAAATGTCTGTGATAGTCTGTGTCTACCATGATGCAAGGAACCGGTTGTCTGTAACCTTTAGCGGCATGATAGAAAACTGATTGTGGTATCAAATATGCACTTTTCAAAAATCCTAATGATCTTATCATTATTCTGCTTGTTTTAGATTCACTTTGATATCTTTCTTTTTGTGGTATATTTTTTTTTCTCGTTTATTTGCATAGTTTGTCATCAGCAGTAGCGTCAAACCAAACCAACACTAATAATTACTTTGTTTATAGTCAAACTCAGCTTATGCTTCACCTGTTTCTCCTCGTGAATAACAGACTTCATAAATTCAAATCGAGTGTATTATCTTATTGCACATGTATTTTACATTTTGATAAAGTGAAGACTATATGAGGCACCAACCGCTTTTCAAATAGACAGTATGTACAATGAAAGAGGGACTTAAGCGAGCAAATTCAACTGTAGTGATGAGTCGAAAAAGTCTTTATTTCGCATTTGAATGTAGTCCGTTTACATATAAAAGGCAATAAGAAGTCCATAGTCTGTAAAGTATTTGTTCCTAATATATTATGGCTTGTGAATAATAAGAGAATTTGGTTTTATGAGAAAGATTAATTCGCATTGTTGAATTTCTGACAATACAATAACTTAATTCATGAATGCACCTCATCAGATAACTTTTTCATTGCTTTTGTCATGTACCTCTTTACTTTGTAACCTTTGAGTTATCAAAAAATTCTGAAGTCATTTTGACCTTGTAATAACATTGTTTTCAAAACTTACACTACCGATGTCTCATTGGCTTTCTACTAACCACGTTACGCAGTGCCCACTTTACCATACTTTCGTTTATTTTAATACATACCATGGAATTTTAGATTTTACGTTGTTCCCATCAATAAAATCAACTAAAAGCTATTAGTTTAAAAACCACAATGATATGTTTGCACTAAAGTGAACATACTTATAATGCTGATGTACTATGGCATAACCCTTGAGTATGATATCACCGGAAGCGTATTCAGTAAACTCTTTCTTTTTTGTCATGCCAGAAACACCTGCATCTTTAAAAAACATAATATACTAAAGAGATACCAGAAAATAATTGAAACCTGGAATAGGTAATGAGAAAACGTTGTTGGCATATAGGAGAAATACAGAAGAGAGATTGCTTACGTTTCAAATAAATAGTTCTATCAAAATAACTAGATATCCTTGTAAATATCTCAAAATCTATCAATGTTTATGGTGAAAGTTATAGTGTTAACTAGAGAATGAAAACAGCCTTTTGTAGTAGATTATCGGTTGATAATAAATTTGGCGGCCTATTATACCATTTGTTAACCAAAAATTAGGTGAAATGAAACCGATTTTTTGATGCTAAATGAGCAGACCAAGGAACTCAAGCTGTATGGAGAGACTTCGAAACTGAACCAGCTACTAAGGGATATTACTTCACTTGTTAAAATTTATATCAAATATAGCAATCATCTGAAGGAGGCGGTGAAAATTATTATCTATAACTTCTTGAAATTGTAGTAGCATCTGGCATAAACATCAATCGTTCATAAAACTATCAACGAACATCAAATCAAATCTGATGCTATGTGACCCTAAATAATTTCGAATACTTTTGACCCTGAAAAGCTAACTAGATTCCATTGCAAAATTCTTAGATGATCATAGCTTGCATTTGAAACTGATGTTCCTAAATTACTTTTGACAAATATATGTACTTTGTCTATATCTGGAAAAAGCTATATTAACTTCATGTTTCCTGGGCTTTTTTTAAATTTATGCAACAACAATAATTTATGAGATAAAAGCCTGATGGATTTGATTAAAACGTTTTAATTATTGATCAGAAACGTTTGGTATATCCATGAAAATATCCATGTGGACTTCCTACACAGAAAACTTTGTGGAACTTACATGAATGATTGTTTTATAAAGTTAAGCGAAGTATTAGTCATGCAGAACAAGTACCGATATAAATTCATCATCATTCAGAAAAACAATCATTAACATCTGTGCAGAGGTTCAATGATTTATTCTTTCTCTACTATCTGTAACCTGGGCTAAACTATCAGTCGACATATAGAACATGGAGACATTTTCATCTGGAATGAAAAGAAAGTAGCAGAGATAAAAGTCAAAATTTTGACTATTTTGCGGAGAATGATTTGGTAAACAAAAATGTGAGGTGAAAAAAAACTACGTAGGAATTATCTAAGCAGACGATACCGGAAGATTTCAAACTAAATTATTTCCTTCATAAGCTGCCTCACCATTCCATCAGATATATCAAACAACGTTATAACCGAAGTGTGCTGGAGGTCAACTCTCAGTGAGTTGTACAACTTAGAACTGATAATCTTGACAAAGCAAGCACGTGGATGTCAGTTAAAGTACTTGCTCTTCATTCAACTTCAGCGACTAAATATATTTCTCTATCCTATGATAAACTGCCTTTTCATTCTGAACAAAGACACTCAGTTGGTTATTTAAATAAAACCTAATATGGCTTTAGAGTTTACCAAATAAAGACGTAAACCAATCGTGTCTCTTACGTTCCATAATTTCTGAATACCTTTTCTGTATCCAGTATTGTTTACCGATGGATATTCCACACGGTAAAATTTACATTTTATAAGCAATTATAAACTTTCATATGTCCCAGGGGTGGATGTAATTTTTAGTGGTTCATTTTAATCTCTGTCTCACAAGGTTTTCCGGCATACTCAAGCGAACAGCCTTATCCCACTTAAATAGTTCAGTCACTGACTTTAAATCATTTCCAAATTGTGCTTGTAATTTTCGCTTTAGTGTTTGATGCATTTCTGAATGTCCAATATCTACTTGCTTTGTTGCAGGATGAAATGTAATTAGTTGCAGTAGGATTTGTTAGTTTTACTGCTGACATTCTGCTTTAATGCATGCATATAAATCATAAACATATACTATTGCATCACGACAAAGCAATGTTATCCAGATGACGCTATGCACCTTAATAGTTGGTCGATTTTAATACATATTTGCTACAATAAACAGGAACAGTCTTTCAAAGTTTCATTTCAAACCAACACTCCAAATAATTTTATTTAGCTTTTTTCCCCTTTGGAGCTATATATTTCACTTAAGCCGCCTTTAGTGGCCTTACGTAAGTCATCTGAAGTAACGTAATTGTCTCTACACTTAAGATTTCGGCTAATCTTAAATAATGATGTTTTCCACGTATTCTGAAGAAAGTGAGATGTATCACTTAACTCAGCTGTCTTGATATTTGATTAGCCTATTACCGCATTTTCTAATCAAACCGTTTTTAAAAGAAATTCTGAATTCGTAAAGAAGGTGACGTTTTCTTAGAAGTAAAATTGTTAATAATTGTCAAATCGTAAAAAGTGTGTTGTTATGGTTCGACCTGTCTGTTTATAAAGGGAAGAAAATACTTAAGACTAGAAGTAACAAAAACTATGAGTTTCAAAGAGGTTGTTCAAGGCACAATCTATCGGTCGCGTTGTGTTTAGAGACATTTATGGTGTAGGAGAGTTGTTGAAAAGCATGTTGTTTATTTTAACTTTCATTAATATTGAAGTTATAACTACTCTATTCTGGATATTTCCGATGCAATATAGAAGATGCTCAGAGCATAATATTTTAAAACATTACTCGTTGCACAATACTTTTGGATGAAGTAATTATAGATCCTAAGTAATACTAGTAAGAGTATTCAGATGTAATCAAACGCAGTGGTCAGTTGTTTCTACTTTTGCGTCTAGTCACTAGGTACATTGTTTTTTAGGGGAACAAATACGAAAGGGAGTGTTACTTTGTTGGTGAAGGTTCATATAGTCAGTATGAGAATGTGCGATACGATCTATTTCAGGAATATTTATATGACATACTTTCATGCCTTTATAGGTACAGTGACATCCACAATACTCTTTTCTCTGAATTTTATTGATAATTAGGTAAATCATAGGTTATAAAAGATTTTCTTTAATGCCAGAGGGTACGCAATGCTATTTGAAGTGATATTTGAATAATTAAAATAAGATGAAATGAAGCAATGCGAAGTAAAATACTTAGTGAAAAGTTTTGGTGGTCCAATCTCTAGGCAGGCTGCCAAGTCCAGATAAGACTATGTATTGAGAAGCATGTCAACGAGTTTACTAGCAGAACCGAGTGTATCTGTTAATATACTAAAGACAACTCCCGCTTACTAGCTCCAGTTTAAAGAAAACCCCAAATCAGCTGATTTATTATTAGTTTATTTTCCTGTTTGAAGAAACAAAATTTACCAAACAGAATAATCGTATCAACAAGCAATTAAGCAAGCTTAATTGAGGATGATCACTTTTAAGATGGCTGCAAGAGGTACTGAGTGTGCAAAATAAAATGAGATATGTGTATGAAGTGGTAGTCTCCATGATTACTTGCCTTGACCAGTTTTGCTTCCATGTATTAAGGATACGTTCACTATCAAAATTGACTAAAGATTGTTTACGACATTTTACGGTTTAAATGTTTTACAGATGCATTAATAACTTATAAAAAAAATCATACTGTACTACAGATGTGCTTCTGATCTCAGTTCCTGCAGAAAGACTGTAGAACGTTCATTGAATCAAGCAACTGAAAACATAATGTACAACTGAGACAAATACTTATTTATGTACGGAAAAATCAACAAACCTAAAATGTGACCTAAAGTTAGCCCCAGTATCCTTTCGTGGTATAATATTTTGAAAAAGCCCTTTAATTTTTGCGTGGCGTTGTTGAAAATATCCAGCAGAACACTACATATTTCCCAACTAAAACTCAACACACCGTATGACTCAGTCTGAACACTCTTGCACTGAGTCACAAATCTTCTGCTATTTCAACATGATAGACTCATAATAATATTTTAGCAAGAAGTTATATGCTAATAGACCTTCTACTGTTACTCAATTAATGGTTACCTGAAATTTTTGTTAAGCACACTCAACTTCTTCTATCTGTTCCCTGGAACTCACCTTCTTAGCAAGGCAGTTGATGTTTCGAGACATTTTTCCGAAGTAAGTTGTTAGAATTCACAGGCTGATGCATTTTATCTCAGTCTCAGTTCCACTGTAATTTTAGCTTATTCAGAATTCTACTTAAGTTTCTTAATTGGCTTTCCCCTGTGTACTAATATTTCAGATTTACTTTTAGTTATATTACCAATGTTTCTTCAGTTTTTTTCTCTAGTTGTTTTGAAATTGTTTACTTATCTCCCACTAAATTTCAATCAATGCTGAATTCACGATTATAGTTCTCTTTCATTTAGAGTTCCTCTCCAATTTTTCACAACTAGTAGCCAAAGGATATCGAGCTTACCTTACAAACCATCAAGGAGTGTATTCTTTATGTGATGATCTAGGGTTTCCATTTGTATTCGAACGCAGTGATTCCCTATGAACATCAGAATGTAAGACATTGGATCGTTTTCCTTTTATTAAGCAATTTAGCAAGTTAAGTTTGTTGAGACTATTCAGAAGTTGCATATTTTTGGCATTAGTCTCCTATGAAAAGTTGATGCGTTCTGTTACAATACAATACACGCAGGAAATGAAAAAACAATCGATTTTCAAAGTCACAGAAATTATTCAGTTAGCATTAATACACTTTGTTTCAACAGAAAGAAAGGATTGGAAGCCAGCTGGCCATTCATAAGTCGCGATACACCACGTTAACTTCAGCCTAAAATTATTGTCGGTAATAATTTTTTGACCTCTCATTGTGTAGCCCCGGAAGATTAACTAAACTAGGGAATGATAACAACTATTAAAAATAGTTGTGGCTTCATAGTGACCTATGTGTTTGCAAGAGATGTCCATGTTTTTGGACGAGATTCGGGCAGAGATTCTCTAGTTTAAACAATTTTGTCAGGCGCTTCAGACGAATTGTATAGACGTTTTGTTGTAAAGACCACGGATAGTTGTCAAGCTCAGTGCATCAAATCTTTCTGAAATGCTTTGATTTTTAAAGGTAAATATGCTACTTGAGCTTAACATTTTCCAATAGTTACTGGTTTATTCAAACTGATTCACAATATTCTGAAAACAAAAGAGTTTTATGTATGGAATTCTTGAAAAAATGTCCAAATAAAGTTTGTCGACGACCTTCGGTGAAAATCTAGATAAGCCTTTATTCAAATAAAAAATGGCACTGGTTTACTGAAATGCATTACTCTGAAATGTGCCGGTGTCCATGATATTTTTATCCGCACAAGTTACCAGCAAATCTAGCTAGCTCGGTTGTGCAGTGTGTGATCATGACTATTTGCAGTTAGTGGTTTGATACTTTAAGGAATTATATCTATATCATGTCAGATAGTTGTAGCTCATTATCTTTGGGGGGGGGCTGCATTTCAACCAATAGGTCACACGTTGAAACACCGTTCCGCGTACGAACCTTCTGAGTAGCCAGGAATCAACATTAGGCAACGCAATAGGTATGGTTTATTGTCTACTGCACCAATGGGCAATAGATTGGTGTATGCATTTGCGGACAAATATTTTTACTAGCATTTCATTCCGTTTTCCAACAGTCCTTTTCTGTGATGACCATTCAATTCTTTTACGTTTGCCTAGACATCTTTGACATTTTAACAGGACAACAGCGGACTGCTGCTTAGATAGACGAAATAATAGTTACGTCGGGAACAAACTATTGCGCAAATTGATGCTTATATTTTTAAAGAGGCAAGCTGACAAATCCTATTTTATATTTGAAACTAAGGTCATTACTTCATTCCAAAATGTTTGCTGTATTAAATAATCTAGTTTCTTGAATGATCATCTCTATATTTTATAGGAGTTCTACAGATGAAGAGATTACCGTTAAGGAAGTACCACTCGACTTTGTTGTGCAATTAGCATCTGCTAGTGAGAAGCAGCTGTCAAATTTCAGCCCAGAAAATAAAAATCAACATTGTAAGTCATTTTGTGTAACCCATACAATGTTTTCTCTAAGAACCTTGAAATAAATTAGGTGCGCTCCATAATGAAAGTCTCACCGAACACTTATTACCCTGAATTTACAGCAAACCAACTGGTCATTATTTAAAGTAACAACATACAAAATTCTAACTCCTAAAATTCATTTTGTACTCAGACATATTTGTCGTCTAAACTAACTATAAACACTGGAATTTATCCAACTGTTTTCTATAAACGGCTATCTCTCCACCCGTCTTATTATGCAAAGTAGAAAACCTTTGGTAAATACACATGAAACTATACTACAAAACGAAAGATCCCTGTGAAAATTGACTCAGAAGTTGATTATTTCAGCTAGTTACTGTTCAAAACAGTTCAGCAAATATTAGTACACAAAGACGAAAACCGTTGAATATAGAAACGTTTTCTTCAAGTATCGAAAAAAAGTGAAACCCAAGTTCGAAAGTAGCTTGAATTCATAATGAAATAAAAATGAGGGAACAATCTGCAACACTTTCTCACTTTTTTCACACCATGATATACAATTACTTTCCAATATTTAACTAATATCTTAATCTGATTTTTTCGGAACACCTATTCGAACAGTTACACACATGTATACCTAAACAAAGAGCCCTAATGGTGCTCGAATGATTACCGCTTTCATTTTTTATTTTTGTTTTCAGTAATATATTTCGAGGTGAATCCAGATGAAAAATATAGCAGCTATATTGCTCATTTTGTTGTAAGTGAATTGCTGTACATCATTTATTACATTTAATACCATTTTCAACAGAAATCCAACAATTTTTCATGCGAAGTTACTGTTAAAATTTTTTTAAATGACCGACTATCTGTGAATTGCGTAATAACGTTAGAGGTTAGAAACTTTCATATGGCGAATTCAAGTGAATGCAATTGTAGCATATCAAAATACTTATGTGGCTCGGCGGTTTTGACTCTTTTTTGGTAATTTGATTTCTACTTGTTCATATCACTTCTTGATCTTAGCTGATACTTAGAAACCAAATGAACCAATAAAGAAGAATGTGTTACCTATCTTATGGCAATAATTTGTCAGGAGGTGTCAGCTTAGCTGACGGACTTTCAGCGGGATAACTGTATATATCCCAACTGCAAATATACCTTTTAAGGACTGAAACATGATTCAGCAGTAGAAATGAAGTTTATGTCTAAGTGGATGATTTACATCTGAATACAGGTGTTATTCTGTGGAAAAGCGGTTGCCAAGAAGTCGCGAAATGTCAGAAATTTATTTTTCTACTTTATTAGAATTTCACAAATATATTTCACTTATATTTCACTTGCCTAATGCTCAACTTATTCAATTCTATCAGATTAAATTTTGGTCCTAAATTTTATAATACGAATAACTGTTTCTTGATCTAGTCACAGTTGCATTTTAAGTTACTCTAACGTTTCCTCGTGGCTATTTTATTTGCTTACTGCTTTGTTGGTTCTAAATAATTATTCCATTTTTATTGATTTATTAGATTTATCACACAGTGTAACAGTATTGTTTACTGGATTACCTTCCGGACATAATTTATTGTCCATAGTCATATCAAGAAAACCTCACAACTTTGAGATATCCTTCATATAGTCTTAATTTCCTCGTCTCGAGGAATTATCTCATGATTAGGTTTAACAGATATGTCTATTGGATAAATTGATACAAACTGTCTATAAGGGTATTTTCTTTTTTATTATACCACATCTGTTTACTAATGAAGAACGTTGTGCAAAAAATTAGGAATAAATGTATATCAGTAAACCTTCATCTGGTATTAAAATTTTGATATTGGCACTCCCACTTACAACTCATTATTCATCTTAGCTAGCGTATGCCAAATGCTAACAAGTCTCAGAGGAACAGATGCACTCTCAAGATACTGTCAACAACATTTATCTATAAATACCAGTATTAGTAAAACAAACCACATAACATATTTATTTATGTATTATGACCTCATGGAAAACAATTTACTGGTCAAAAAATACAATGTAAGGGTGATCATAAATTGTCAACGTCTCCATCTATATTTAAGTTATACAGTAGACTGAAAAAGTACTCTACATTTTGCTTTTACCTATAGATGATCTTAGAGTCGCTCCCAAAAGCTCACATTCACAAGACTCAACTTTTCAAAAGTCAGGTAAGTCATGAACATTAGTTAGTTTTGAAGTAATACCACTATTTTAAAGTGTTTCCTACAAACATCCAAAGATCAATAAATATCTTTTATTTATTTATGAAGTGAATTCAAAAGACTTATTTTCTTCATCATCTTCTTCTTCTTGGAATAAATAGTTCATAGTAACTTTCAAATATGAATGCACCTTTTCACATTTTCTCTTCGATGTCTATAATTTAACATTACGAGGAAGTGAAATGAAAGCGCATTACACCAATGTTTTTAAAAACCACCTGAAAGGGGTTAAGCATTTCATCTGTCTTAAACACTTCAGGTGTTGTGCATTCGTAAGACTAGGCAGCTAAATAGTTAAATGAAAAGTCAAATCACATTTTCTTATTCAATTTTGTATGTAAAAGTCAACCTAAAACTATGAAGGAAAGTGAAAACTTGGCTTTTTCTAATATGTTCTTTTTCTTCATTCTTTCATATACAAATAGCCTTTTCTATTATTGATTAACCTCTATATCATCTAAACGGTGGAAAGTCTTTCATACTTCACGGACTGGATCATAACCAGCTAACTACTCTACGCAATGTGAAACATAGCATGCTTGATTAACAGATCAGGATTAAGTAAACTACTTGACGAAATCTCACGAAGAAACCACTATTCAATGTTGATACTAGTTAAAGTACTGAAGCAATGTACCTACAGAATTTCACAGCATTCATATTTAAACTGCTGTGAATAAGAGTCTACGGTTCGAACGGTGAATTAAAAAGGAATTAATGAACAGTGTGCTGTTTTTATAGCACGTAGCCCAATAGGTCAGAAATAAAATAGGAAAGACTAAGCCAACATAAACTAAAATAATGAATACGACAAGATGCAAGAAGTTGGATCATGAATTATTTTCTAAACTTCCACAAATGCTGCATATTTTAGCGTACATCATACTAATGTCATAAGTAAGCTAAGTTTTAGAAGCGTTTTCATTTTCTACCAAATGAAATATGTATCGTCTTGATTTAGACCACTTGAAAAACTGCTTGATTTTTTCATTTTTATTGTCTAGAAAAGAATAAAACTTTCATAAGGTAGTCTCATGAGATACATTTCCTAATCACTTAGATGCAGAAATTTCAATTACAATCTATAAGACAGATGGGTTTATTGCATGCTTCGCCACGTAACAAAAACAGACGGTACTATAAAAACTTCGCTAAAGCTTATTCACTTCTAATATATTATTTTTGGGGAAGAATGCATGCAAGTATGAAAATTCGTAACACAGAATACAAGCAATCTCAAACTATTTATCTGAAACATATGTTATCAACTTAGATCTCAAAAATATGAATATCCTTTGACTTTGGTGCACCCGCCGCTTTGTTTTTTGTTGAGAAAATCGTCCTTACTAAAAATAACAAGGCATGCCTCTCAATGTTAGCGTTTCCTAGAGAATACCTTTCTTATTTACGAATAATTAGGTAACATATCCACGTCTATTCTACGCTCATAAGTTCTTGATGTGATAATTATCAAATAAGCCAACTCTGACGGAGGTAAATAAACATATTAGCTTATTAGTAATTTAAATCGAAAAATTCAGGAGACTGTAAGTAAAATTATATGTTTAACCTGAATTTTTCGATAGAATCTTAGTACTTATTCATCCTTCTTTCCTCCTTAAAAATTTGAAGTGTTACCATTCAGCATGTAAAGCCTTTATTGACTTTTCTATTAGACATCTTACTTTGTGAAAAAGCTCAATGTTGTATCATGCGTTCGATAACCCAGTGAACTGGTGTAACTTAAATTAGTACGATTTCAGTCATTGAATTTCATTCAGATAGGTCTATAAATTGATTGTCGATAAATTCATGTGTTATTTACCTCATTATGAGATAAAAATGTCTAAAACTGACCAATTTAGGGTCTATTTGACTTCCATACTAGAATTGCTAATTTGATTTTGAGCAATAATTTCTCCCGAAAACGTCATAAAGTAAATAATACAGTAATACTGTGTGTTATAAATCAAATAAACAAATCTAATGTAGAATTACACTTTACTCCAGTGCTCAAATTTTGCACTAATACTAATATGACTTTCAGACTGATATAAACATCAGCCCCCTGAATTAATATAAAAAAAACCATTTCAGTTATCTGCTTAAATTGCACAGGTTTTTCAGAAGATTCACAATTTCATGAGCCCTTCCTAAGTGATTCATTTTTTGACAAACGGTATTTTTCGCCTGAAATGCTTCTCTGGATGATATAGTAAATTCTGACAGTAAAGTTTTGTCGGTAACCTTAAATAGTATTGCCTTTTTCTTCTAATCATGAAGTTTCCGTTAGCTGTGGTTTCATAAATAATATTTTTAAGGGGACCATTTGAGATAGGCCTGCCGAAACTTACTGATCTTTACGTGAGAGAGTGACAATAAGAGTTACAATGGAATGGAAACAGGAGCCTTGGATAGGGGAAATATTCCAACATTTCGATGAGCACGTTTTGATAATTGACAAAAATAGATAACCTTTCATATCTGCCTTTTTTACAAAGATTATTTAAAACAAGATAAGTAGATTAACTAAACTGCATTCATTAGCAAATCTATTTTGCATAATGTTAAGTTTCTATGAATGAAACAAAGAACATTATTTATGTATATTGCATGGATTTAATATAGACTAACGAATTACAGCGGATTATGTGTATATAAATTTGCTGATATCAAGGAATATTTACAAAATGATCGATGCTAAGGAATACATTCTCAAGCAGTACACAGTTTACACAATTTACACTTTATCGTAATATTTTCTCAAATCATGATATTTTGCCTGATAATGGGAACACTAGTTATATTCTCGGCCTTATACGTAAATTTTCAGCACCCTACATACCAAAAATACGTTCCATTGTAATTTCTGTATTTCTTTTTATTTCTGTTAACTAAGCTTTCATCAACACTGAACAGAATCATTCGTTTGGAACAATTAAAAGAGCATCCCTTAAATTCGCCCTTATTGCAAAGAAGAGATCCATGTTGTAGTCATGGCACCGAAGCTTCAACATGGATAAGTCGAGAAGATAAAGCGATGATACTTAAACTTTGTGGTAATTGATTCTGTTATGTCACTTACCGTTCTGTTTTCAACTTATTGTGATTATTGATTTGCTAAACGACTGAAATAAACTAGACGTATGTATATAGTATTTAAGATTAAACAATTAAAAATCTGCTGCTAAAATGCGCAACACACGAGCATAGCTGATAAAATGTTTTATATATATTGAAAAAACCGTTGAAATTTACTGTCATCTGTTATTCGATATTTTCAGTCATTTCATCGGTCATGAAAGTCTATGAAATACTCTTTAGTGAAATAATGAGATCGAAACTATTTTAAACCTCGCCTAGGTTACTAGTTCAGTAGTTTCCTAGCCGGTCTTAAGCTGATATTAGGAAGGAAGATGTAAGCATAAAGCTAAAAACCCTTCCCCGGAAAACCAATCAGATCGCAAAAGAAACTTCAAAGCACATAAAAAACATAAAAAATAAAAATAAACTTATTCCTCGATAACATCGCAGAGACGGAATGACACCGGTTGATGAAACCCTTCGGAAAGCTGACTGCCCTATCTGTCTGTACTCTTTCTCCCTCTCTCCACCGATGAATGGAAAACTAGGCATGGGGACATGGAATGTGTACACCAAGTATGAACCTAGTAAGGCTGCCCATATCACAAAAGAAATGAGAAGGTATGAGATTGAAATGCTAGGAATCTGCAAGGAATCTCCAAAGGGAATGGAAGTGGACTCTCCAAACTCTCATCTGGAGAAAGGACAATTCGAAATGTCAACTGGAGAGTCAATAATCTACTCCGATATTGTCATCCAGACAACAAACACGAGCACACTGAGTTTGCCGGTGGTTATCATCATGTCTCCATGATATCGAAGGCTCTCTCGTATTCAGTAGGAACCAATCTCCTCCTGCATGATCACCATCATGACAGCAAGATTCAAATCGAAAAGAAGGAAGGAAAATGATAATCATACAATGAGTGTCACACGACGCTACACTGTGCACCTACAAATAATGCAGATGAAGAGAAGGAGGTGAAGCAGGAGGAGAAGGAGGAGGAGGAGTAATTCTACAGATAACTGCAATCAGTACTCGACAAGAACCCACCTCAATTGGAGACATCAAATTCTAATGGGTCGAGTGACAGGAATGCCAAACTGGGGGTGGATAACAGGGGTGGAGAACTCATCATGGGTGGAGAGGCACTGGATGAAATGATGAATGAGAATGGAGAACTGTTTGCAGACTTCTGCGCATTCAACGAATCGATGATTGTAGGCAGTAGGCAGTGTGTACAAACACGCGCAGATATTCACAAGTGAGCGACATGGATTTGATTTGACCAGATGGAGACACTACACTGAAAATCAGATCGATTGATGTCGATGTGAAGGAGGTGGAGACGCAGCCAGCCTACTGGACACAAACAAGACGAAGAAGAGGAGGAGATGTAGGTTAATACCACTCACAATGTAGTGCAAAATAAGGAAAGTTCGAAATCAAGTTGAGAGCCTTTTGAAGAAGCTGGTGCTGATAGACCACAGTTGAAGTTGAACACCCAGAAGGGAAACAGAAGTGAAGGATGAAAGTACAAATGACATGTTGACGTGAGCCAGTCATCAGGAGAAAGTGTGAGATATTGGGCAACATAGGTGACGAAAGCTATGTGGAAGAACACTTTGAAGTATGTGAAAGCGACGTGGAAGGAGACGTTCATAGCCGTGTAGTGAAGGAAGAGGAAACTAGATGAGGCAGGGAATGCATTTTGATGGAGACATGTAAGCAGATGGAAGAGAGGAGAGGAGAGGAGAGAAATTTGTTGCAGCATAGAATGAGCCAGTGCAGTGCGTTGCAGGAATAAACAACGAAAGGAGGGAGTGAATGCAGAATATAAAGCACTACACTTGACTAGGTAGTGATGAAGAGCGTGGGGAAGTATGAAAGATGCTTCCACGTCAGACTTGGAAGTGAAGCAGAACAGGCTGTAGGCTAATAAGAGGAACCTGACAACATATCAAATAACTAGGTTACTGTCTGAGAAGGAGCGTGTCAGCGTAGATTATACCAGTGAAAGATAGTGAAGGAAATCTCGTTATTAAAGACTGAAGAGGAATGAAACGATGTGCTGATCACTTCAAATATTTCTTAAATCGACCATTCACACCCGCTACTAGTTGAGGAATAATGAACCGTATCATGCTGGCAGATTAAATTTTACTCTGGACCCCAAATTACGACCCGAATAGAATGCTTCAGAATCAACAAATCAAATGTCATCGTGACGTATTGTCATAATACCGAGCATAGAATGACAGTCAACTGGATCTTTACCTCAACTTCATCGACTTAGAAAAGGCCTCCGACAGCATCGACTGAGATAATTCGGAAACTGCTTCTACACTACGGGATGCCATAAACCATTAACGACCTCATTCAACAGCAGCATGCTGTATGTTGCTGCATGCATAGTGATTCACAATGGAACGCTCAGTGATGCCATTGAAGTGAAGACAGGAGTATGATAAGATTAACTTCTACTATCATCACTGATGATCTTCATAATTATGGTAGACTGGATTGGGCTGCATAATGAGACAGAGAGTGAGGAGCGAGGAGTGAGACATATGCTGTTCGACCGATGAAAGACCCTAGAAGATTTGGATATCGCCCGTGTTGGGTATGTCAAACATCTTGTGTCACAAACTCGCAGATCTACAGGTGAAAACATGTAAGTTGACAGAAGAGGCAGCAAAGACCGGAATTCCTTCAGGCAAATGTAGTGAAGACGGAGGTGATGAAGATACTCAACCAACAACAAGCACCATCCACCATAAGCAGGAGAAACATAAGGGATGTAGTCTCTTTCACCTACCTACCTACCTACCTGCCCACCCAGGTAGCATCGTTTCAACTACAGGAGTTGCAGGCACAGATGAGGATGTCAAAACCAACCACAATCGAAAAAGCAAGACAGGCATTCATTAGCCTTAAACCAGTGTGAAGATCTACTGCACTACACTGCACCTCACTCAGCATAAAGCGTCAACAAGATCCAGATTTTCATCATCAGTGTCAGTCAAGTCAGTGCTCCTATATGGTTCAGAGACTGGTCGCCTTACGAAAAGCATTTCCAACAAACTACAGACATTCATCAACACCTGCTGCCTACGCTCACTCCATACTGAAGATGTGATCAGATGGCCAGAATCATAAGAATAATCAACAAGGAACTCTGGCTGGCTGGCTGGCAACGAACCAACCAAGAAACTATTGCTCAACAAATTTGCAGAAGGAAGTGGAGATGGATTGTACATTCAATGAGAAGGCGGATGAAGGACATCACGCCTCAGGCCAGGCCAGACCAGGCCAGACCAAGTCAGGCCGTCGAGTGGAATCCGAAGGGGAAACGATGAGTTGGGTATCCAACTCGAGGGTGACGTGGAGGAGATGGTGTGAGGAAGAAATGAGAGCTTGTGGGCAGAGGTGGAGTTATGTTGAAAATACTGGAGAGAAGTGAGTGAAATGGAGATGTGCTACTGAATCCCTATATTCTACTAGGTACCAAAGGGACACATAAAAATTCAAAAAAACTTTTTTAAACTTAAGACAGTTATATGAAAACGGACGGTTTTCAACTGCATAAACATAATGACATTTTTGAATCGTGCTGTTTTTCTGGTAATTTGTGTATATGTTCTTCAAATAAATGTATCGATTAGTACTTTTTAGGTATGTTTCTGCATATACACGAAATCCGATAGCTTCAGCGACATGAGGCCAAATCGTTCATACCTTGATAACTATAGTCTCAGGACAGTGGTTTCATCTGCTTACCTTGGATGAACCTAGTTGTATGGTGCGTTTTACTAATGGTAGGCCTTAATCTTCTTTCACAAATGACGCAAAAGTGATCCACTTCCATGTTGAAGCATGACATAAATGTTTCTGTTTAGACTGGAATAAAAATAAGTTTTAAGGATAACCGTATGTAAACTTCAATGCGTATCCGTTTTCACACTGGTGTATTCCATCAGTATTTACAAGTCCTTGTCTATTTTCTGTGCTACAAAGATGTGTTATGTCTTCTTGAATAATCACTTTTTTGAGCCTTGTTGTTGTTTTAGTTGAAAGAAGCTATAGTTATTGGTATTTGACACATAAATATCACTCAATAGTAATAAAAAGAAACAAAAGTTTCAAGTTTTAAACAAGCCATTACAGTACGTTTTGTAAATCGAGGGTCATTATGAAAGGAGTATGAAGTCTTTTCTTCAATGATACTATCAGGAAGTTAATAAACAAGTTTGAATTTACATTTCAAAAGAAACTTACACAATACATTTGTAGTAGGAATTAGAAGTTTTGCTAACGACTTAGCAAATTTATTCGTAGGTGAATAATACAAGAACACCATTGAAAGTAAAGTCTTTTTAGACTTGCGAATTCAAAGCTGTCAATGCAATTTAACAATTTGAATATCATAGTTTTTAGTGGAACTAATTAATCCTCATCGAAAATTTTCATCTTCAAGTGTTTCAGTGGAACAGAAGCTAATTTATCGTGTAAAATTTTAAAAGCAGCTATTCCACTGACAATTAGCCGTGAATTAAATTTCGGTGTTATCACTAAATGTGATCTTAATTTTAGCCAGATATATTTATCATAACTACGCATGAAAGCTGAGCAAAACTGAGAATGAGTATTTTACTTCTATTTTGAAGTATACATAGGCATTTTAGTCTGAATTAAGTGGAAACGAACAGATAATAACTTCATTTTCACGAGACTTGAACAGCTTACTCCCTTTCTTTGATTCAGTGGAGACAGAATCGTAGAAACTGAAGAACTTGTTACAAAGAATTACAAAATACTATGCAACGCAGATGACAGTTGGGCATACATCCCAAATTTTTCAACATAAATTCTGTTTGAACCTATCAATAGCACAGCCACTGAGTCAAACCAAGTTTAAAACTTCATGTGTGTTTAGTGAACCACAATCTTATTCTAAGCTGCAACAATTTATCATAGGTTTAAGCTCAGAAATAAATCTTCCTGTGGTCCGGAACTAACGCGGTCTTTTTTAGTTAGCAGCTTAGAACTAACAAATTCATAGTAACTTAGAGCTTAAGGTAGACACTTAAAGGTCTTGAGAAAAGAAAGTCAGCATACGAACCACCGGTAGAAAGTCTAATATTCCGAAGTTTCAACTTGTCAAGATATTACTAATCTTAAAGTGGGACGTTTGTTTATAGCCCTTGAAAAACTACTCAAGAAACACATTTTAGTGTTGGACCAAGTCGTTCATTACAGGATATGTAAACATCGTTTATTCCTAACGTTTTCATAAGGTTGAGACTAATGCACATTCTCTTTTGAACGCCTTCCGAAAAGACTCTTTTCAGCTTTTAAATCTCAGAAAAAGACAAAAGTAAATTATCTTTATTTTCAAACTTCGTATTCTAGAAGAAGAACCACGATCTTCAGATCTATTGTTTTCGTGTGTTTAATGGGGGCGGTGGGGGGTGTAATAAAACAGGAAAAGAACGTTCCGAATACTACAACCTCAGTGTTGATTCGAATCATACCACTATTTGTATTGTACATGATGCCGACTTACTCATCTCAAAAGCTGATTCATTTTTCAATTACTGTATTTCAAGATGAATCACTTCTGATTCGTTCTGTCTCTTCTATTTTTGAACAGAATCGCTTTGGGATATAGAAGCAGATCGTCTACAGTATAAAGTTCTTAGATATGTAAGTGAGGTTTTTTCTCTAAGTATGTTGCTAAGTGATTATTTATATCTTAGCAAGACTAAATTTTACGAATTATTAGTTGGTGTTAACGGTAACCTCAGAGAAGAAATATTGACCAAAACGTTTTTAACACTGAAATACTTTACAAATATAATTTTATTTGTCTTCAGGTATTATTCTTCATGTAGAAATAATCATTATTCTTATGTATTAGGGTCAATTTATGCTGTTATATAGGTTTTCATAAACCAAAATCGTTTTTCGTGTATAAAGAAACAAGCTAACCAGCGGTGATCACTTCTAGATAGACTCTGATACTTTGCAAATATTGATTTGTGATTGATTTCATCAGTGAATGAAAAACTAGAATTTCAGGCTGAAACAATTTCAACATGTACTTAATAGGTTTACTTACTCATAGAAATCAATATGGACTAATTAACATAACTGACGTACTGACGTGCATTTAAACGATTTTACATAGGTTTAAAAAATGAATTGTTCGTTAAGTCAGACGGGGAAGTTCACTTATCGCTGAGAATACCCCGTTAATGGTTAAAATTTTTTCAGAGATAATTACAGATAGTTTTCTATAAAAAACTTGTGGGAAGTCGTGACGCCAGGTTGAAAAGACTGGAGAAAACAGAGCGGAATGAAGGCGTGCTACTGAAGCCCTATTATCCACTGGGAACCCAAGGGAAAATAAATAAATACTATGGAAAAATACTCATCTTAGGAAATAATACATGTAGGACTACATACTCATATCCATTGTAAAATACTTTTCAAAAATTGCCAAATATTTTCTCTTTTAAGCATGAACACATAAATATACTTTGGTAGACGCAACCCTTCCTAAAAAATATTTTTCATCAGCAAATATGATGCTGTCCTTCTTATTCCTAGTTAGCAAGACATGTATTATAGGTACTTGACCAACTAACTTTCAAACAACTGCCCTCACACTGGCATCGTCCAGCAATAGAAACGTCGAAAAGTAGTAGGAAGGTTTTATCGTTTGAAGCATCATGAAAACAAAGAACTACTTTCTTTGAAAGAACAGGCACCGAGTTTATGTGACTCACTGAATGAAGATTATTTCTTCTGTGTAGTTTTGACGTATTATATTAAAACAAACAATAAAGCAGACAAATACTTTGTATGATTCCTCATCGTTTTGATCTTGACAGAAAATTGATTCCTAAGAGAATGAATCTGTTATAGAGGCTTCGGGTTAATTTTTTAAGTTTCGAACAGAAATGAACTTTTCGATCATTCGATTTAATTGCTATGTAATACAAGGATCAATACAATTTTGATGAGAGATACTGACAAACGGGTTAATGAAGCTTATCCACATTTTCAAGTAGGGTAACACAAAATTAAGATGAGAGATTTCGTTCGATTTCCACGTGTACACTAGAGTGATGACTCATTAGAGAGGAATAAGGCTAAATTACCATTCAGAAAAACAGAGCTTACTGTCATTGTTTATAATTTTTTCCTCATTGACTAGACCAAACTTTTTGAAGAGAAAACACAAGCTATAACATAACTGGCGATCATGACTTAGTAGCCTAGCAGATAACACTCTGTGGTTTGAAGTACCTGGTAGTTGGTTCGAGTCTCGGCGGGAATAATATCACCCGTAGAGTGACTGGTATGTTCGGCAGATGAGTCTAGCAGAGTATGACACTTGCATCCCAGATTTATTGCTAACCACTATCCATTATTACCATCAGTGTTGAATTAGTTAGCAGTTATGTGGAGTTGTGTAAAATTACGCGACAATTTAATTGGTTGATCGAGAAGGTCACTCATATTCCAGACTTGAAAACTAATATGGAAGCCTAAGATCAGGTTCATACTGATGAGAAGGGATTTCCTAGCAAGGTCGAACGATGAGAAACAGTACTAAGTATTTCCTTGCTGTATTGTTTGTTCTTATATATACTATGCCAGGATTACATAAGTTAGGCATACTTTATGCAGTGAAAGTCTTATTTTTAGTAAAGACCAAACTTTAATATGTCGTGTGTTATAGTTGGTTGGCATTCATCATTCGAAAACCTAAATCAACTTTCCTGACTGTTTCTAGCATATATCTTATTTGAGAAACAAAATATTTTCCACCACATCGTCAAATGGATTATTGTGCAATAAGGGTGAATCACTGTTAGGAATAAAATCAGAATGAAAATTATTCATGTTGTCTTGATAACTGGTTATAATAGAAGTACACCATTTTTTCCTCAGCAGAGATGACTGAGCTTTTATGTCCGGAAAAACACTGAGACAGTAGTTGAGGTTAAAATCCTATCTTACAGATCAATGAAACAAGAGTCTGGAACTGTGTTATGCGAAAACAGTAATCGTAACAAATATAAATCCATGTGTTAGCAAGATTGTAGGAAATACAATTAGTATACAGTGATTTATTTTCCACTTTAGTAAAAACAGTGGGAAATTTATATCTTAGCTTTCATTCTTGCGCAATTCTTAGGTTGTTATTGACAATTGATGTCAGAAATATACGCAGAGTTTAGTTACTGTATATTTCGGAACTATTTTACACCCATTTCAGTTAATCGAACGTACAAATGCTGACAACGGCTTTATTGTCATGCGAAACGCAGATACCTCGGAACTGTATTGTTATGTGAGTTTGTTTTGTGTTTAATTAATTAGGTTACTTTTGCCTTTAAATATTTGTTGAAAGTCTGTTCATTTATAAAAGTTGGACATAATATTTACGGTCACTACACAAATATATGATTAGTAAATTTAAGAAAACGTCTGCTGTGGTATGCTAGTGAAGGCAAGCAGATTGTAGAAACATACTCCGCAAAAGCAACACACGCGGAATTATTTTTCTCCATAAGAAGCTTGCTTAAAGGTACATGAGTGTCAAAAAGAAGTTCATGGATTACTACGAACTCTAGGCATATCGAATAAATGTTAGTAGATGCCTTGAGACAAAATAAAAATGACAAAAATCCATAAGATTCATAGCCTCTTCACTCACTAGTTTCTTCGGAAAACTACTGACTAAGCAGCTGTGACGATGTAGTCATGTACAACATAGTTCCTTAAATACTGATTTTAGTAATCATTTCGACTGTGATACAGACAGTGTAGAATGACAGCTTTCTAGCTTAATCCTTTGGCATCATCGTTAAAGTGCAGTTAGTGTTCAGAGTGCTGCTACCAAGGCGAATTCACAAAACAGTAGAATCGATCGTAATATTTAACGAAGCTAGAAGGGACTTTGATAGACGTTGGTTGGAGGCAATCTGCATGAAGCAGCCCTTCAGGAGGTTAGTCGCTGCTTGAGTAGCTCAGGGATAACCTCGCTGAATGCGACACTGGGTGATGTGGGTTCGAAACCCAGACATGTAACTTCCCTCGAGTTTGAAGATACACCTTGCTCACGAGTACCAACAGACATGAGACCTAGATCTGGCGTTTGTTGCCGGTTGGCTCGAACCAACTAATATCTATCTAAGTGCACAAAGTGCTGAGCCTCTTGGATTGGTGGTCACATTGCAGATCGAACCGTAGAATTTGATCAGCACTCAGGAGTAGCCAGCATGAAAGTGGTTGGCCTCCGGTTATCAATCATTGTATTTGTTAATCTGCACTCACTAATAATATGTTCACAGACACTTGTTTTGTGAAGTAACTACGTAAATATGTATATGGTAGGTTACTGCGGATTAAAGGTAAGCGGTGCATATTGCACATATGACTTATTGCTAAGGTGGAATTTGATGAAGCTGTAATCTCTAAAGGTCTCTTGAGGTTTTGGATGAACAGGGAAACTAGAAAAAAAATGCTTATATCAAACGCAGACAAAAGTAAGTTATCCAGTTGCTGCTTGGAAAGCAATGATTAAAATATTCCATAAAAGCGTAAGGTCAGCGAAACAATTGAAGGTTCTATTTCAACCTTCTAAAGCAATAGACACAGAAAAATTCAGAGAAATTAAGAGTTTCCCATTCTTTTGCTGATAATCGTCTTATCACAGACTTAATAAAAGGGTCCCAAAGTATACATGCTTTTTGGCGATTATGGTAGGCTTTGTGTTCCATAAATAAGGCGAGTCAGATGTCAAGATGCCAACAGATGCAATCCCAATTATTGCAGTTTAACTAAGGCTTTTTCTCAAAACTGACTATCCTTGAAAGAAGTTTCATAGTGTATCACAATTGAGGAGTAAACATGGAAGCCACATCTCATTAAATACTTAACAAGTAATGAAAAGTAGTCTCAAACTCAAAACAAATAGCTATGCTTTTCTCCACAGTTTTGATAGTCTTCTCGCTGATTTAAACCTAAAATAAAAATTCTTTTCTGAACAGATATTGTCCATCACTCTTAAAAAATTTGGAAACCCTAAACTAAATTTTAACAGTCAGTAAACCTAACCCAGAGAATACGAATATAGCGCACTAGCTTTTTATTCTCATTCTAAAAGTATGTTGACAAAATGGAAACTCATCGAGTAAAATCTTTCTATCAAAACATTTACATTCGTTTACTATACCATTCAATATTTAGACAACGATTGTTAAATATGCTTCAATGTACTGTTAAAATAAAATTACTGTGTTTAAGTTTTGAAACCAAACTTTTGATATCGTCAGAACATATGTTTCACCTTATTCCTAACTTTACTTTGCAATCCAGCAGATAGTGGTTTAGATACTACTGTCTGCAGGAAACCAGCACATTTAAAATGGAACCTCATCCGATATCAGCAAAGGCTGGTTTAGATAAATTTTGAAATAAAAGAGTAAGGGAAATTACCGGTCGAAGTAATGATTTGAATAGGGAGCTGAAACATATCAAGGGAAAAGCGATTAATTAATAATTAGACTTTAGACTTTACTACGAGGCTTTTAAGAACACATAACAGTGAAGTAATAACAGTAATACGGATATGAATAGCAACTACGACAGAATTAGAAGGCAGTTCATTGCTTGTGCTGTGTTAATTTAAAGGGAAGGAACATCAGTATCCTTACACAGAATGCGTAACAAGGTCTAAATAAGGGTGGCATTCAAACTCAAACTCAGTCACATATAAGCTTTTTCAGCTTAACGATTCGAGTGACCTAATTAAAAAAATAATTTGACCTACCAAATTTCATACAGTGACTGGGATATTAAGTATATAGATCAGAGCAGCAAATCCGGGTCAGTTAATTAATCTGAATACAGAAATTTCGTCAAGTAAAAAATGGCAGACTCAAAAAACCAATAATTTACAGAAAACTATGATTATTTTTCCCTTGCTTTCCTAGTAGAACATAGGGACTCAGCAGCACGTCTACACTTCACTCTCTTCTCTCCAGTATTTTCAACATAACTCCACCTCTGCCCACAAGCTCTCATTTCTTCCTCACACAATCTCCTCTATGTCATCCTCTCCTCGGACACCCAACTCATCGTTTCCCCTTCGGATTCCACTCAACGGCCTGACCTGGCGCGTGATGTCCCCAATCAGCCTTCTCAGTGTACGCCCTATCCATCTAATCGCCACTTTCTTCTACATATTTGTTGGGTGATAGATTCTTGGTTGGTTCGTTGCCAGTCAGAGGTCCTTGTTGGTTATCTTTTCTGGCCATCTGATCTTCAGTATTGAACGTAGGCAGCAGTTCATGAATGTCTGTGGCTTGTTGGAAATGCCTTTCGTAACGCGCCACGTCTCTCAGCCATCACATAGAAGCACTGACTTGCTTGACCGAATCAGTCTTAAAAATCCGGATCTTTTTCACGCTTTATGATGAGTGAAGTAGAGTACAGTGGATCTCCACGCTGCTTTCAGAATAATGAAGGCCTGTCTTGCTGTCTTTCCGATCCCGACTAGCTTTGACATCCTCATCTGTGCCGCCGCTGCCACCACCTGTAGTTGAAACGATGCTGCCTAGGTATGTAGGTGGAAGAGACTACTTTCTTTAGATTTCTCCTGTTGATGGTGATTGGTGCTTGTTGTTGATGCTGTTGTTGGTTGGGTATCTTCATCAGCTCTGTCTTCTCTACGTTCACCCGAAAGAAGTCCCATCCTTGCTCCCCTGCCCTGCTTCTTCTGTCTGCTTGTTGGTTTTTGCCTGTAGATCTTCGAGCTTGTGCGACACTAGTCATAAATCGTCACCTGCGAGATCCAAATCTTCTAGGCTTTTCTCACCGGTCCAGCCAGCGTATGCCCCTCTTCTCACAGCTCTTCACGGCTTGCTACATGATCCAGTCCAGTCCAGCCGACCACAATCAGGAAGATCATCAGTGATAGTAGGCGACAGCCTTGTCTTACCTACCAACATGTCTTCACTTCGAAGGGATCACTGAGCATTCCATTGTGAATCACTTGACATGTGGCATAATCTCATCACGTAGCTGCTGTTGAATGAGGTTGAAAAAGGTTTGTAGCGCTAAAACCATAGTATTGAAGCAGCTGTCAAATTACTCCTCGGTCGACACTGTCGAAGGCCTTTTCAAAATCGAGGAAGTTCAGGTAGAGTTGGGTTGACTGCCATTCTACGCTCTGTTCTATGATGATGCGCAGAGTGGCGTTGGAATTTGGTACGAACGTGATTTGTACTTCATGAATCCAGCCTGTTCCGGTCATAATTTTGAACCCATAGCATCTTTTAGTCTCTCCAGGATCATGCGGCATAATATATTGCTTGCTATGGGTAGACAGGAACAGAAGCATGATTCCGCGTCAGTTCCTGCAAAGACTTAGATCTTACTTCTTTGGGAGTTTGACAAGATAGCCCTTCTTCCAATTGCCATGTACCTTCCCTGCCTTCTAGACCGTCTGAAGTAATAGTGTGAACATTTCCGCCGCTTTCCCTGCGTCTGCTCTCAATGCTTCTGGAGGGATTCCATTTGGTCCTGCTGCTTTCACGCACTTCAGTAGCTTTATGGCGTTAGAGGCTTCGACTTTCGTCAAAAGGCTTCTGTTCACTTGTAGTTCTGCGGCTGCAAGTGCAATTTCTTTGGGAGTTGCAGGTGATGGTCGATTCAAGAGGTTTTTCAAGTGATCAGCCCATCGTTTCCCTTGTTTTTCCTCATTCTTAATTAGATTTCCTTGATCATATTTCATTGGTTTCATCTGCGTTGATCTCTTCCCATATAGTAACCTGGTGATTTGATATAGTGTTGTCAGGTCATTGTCTGTCTAACTTGCAGCCTGTTCTGCATCACTTGCAAGTCTGTCGTGGAAGCATCTTTCATACTTCCCCACGCTCTTCATTTGTAGTTTCATCCTTCACTTCTGTTTCCCTTCTGGGTGTTCAACTTCAACTGTGGTCTATCAGCACCAGCTTCTTCAAAAGGCTCTCAACTTGATTTCGAACTTTCCTTATTTTGCACTACATTGTGAGTGGTATTAACCTACATCTCCTCCTCTTCTTCGTCTTGTTTGTGTCCAGTAGGCTGGCTGCGTCTCCACCTCCTTCACATCGACATCAATCGATCTGATTTTCAGTGTGGTGTCTCCATCTGGTCAAATCAAATCCATGTCGCTCACTTGTGAATATCTGCGCGTGTTTGTACACACTGCCTACTGCCTACAATCATCGATTCGTTGAATGCGCAGAAGTCTGCAAACAGTTCTCCATTCTCATTCATCATTTCATCCAGTGCCTCTCCACCCATGATGAGTTCTCCACCCCTGTTATCCACCCCCAGTTTGGCATTCCTGTCACTCGACCCATTAGAATTTGATGTCTCCAATTGAGGTGGGTTCTTGTCGAGTACTGATTGCAGTTATCTGTAGAATTACTCCTCCTCCTCCTTCTCCTCCTGCTTCACCTCCTTCTCTTCATCTGCATTATTTGTAGGTGCACAGTGTAGCGTCGTGTGACACTCATTGTATGATTATCATTTTCCTTCCTTCTTTTCGATTTGAATCTTGCTGTCATGATGGTGGTCTTGCAGGAGGAGATTGGTTCCCACTGAATGCGAGAGAGCCTTCGATATCATGGAGACATGATGATAACCACCGGCAAACTCAGTGTGCTCGTGTTTGTTGTCTGGATGACAATATCAGAGTAGATTATTGACTCTCCAGTCGACATTTTGAATTGCCCGCTTCCCTTCCCCTTGGAGATTCCTCGTAGATTCCTAGCATTTCAATCTCATACCTTCCCACTTCTTTTGAAATGTGGGCAGCCTTGTCAGCCAGCTTCATACATGGTGCGGACATTCCATGTCTCCATCCTTACTTTCGCTTTCATTGAGGGAAGATATATCGGCCAGTTTGCTTGCCGAATGCTTCCACCAACCAGCATCATTTCGTCTCTCCGATTGCAGCAAGGAATAAGTTTTTTTTAATGTTTTCTATGTGCTTTGAAGTTACTGTAGTGATTGGATTGGTTTTTTTGGGTAGATGTAGATTTGCCAGCTCTATCTGGAAACCTTCCGTCTTTATGCGGGCTTAGGACAAGCTAGTAACTGATGAACTATTTACCCAGGCAAGGTTCATTTAGAGAAGGAGCTACTGAACTCTATTTGCTGAACAAAACCATACATTAGGTTAGGATGAAGTAAATATACTTAGATTAGTTGTTAGGAGATTTTTATTTCAATATTCGTTCATTGAACTATGCATCACAAATGACCTGATACTCCCATCGGTGTGGAAGTGTCTACTACTACTAAAAACAAAGAATTTGAGGTAGTAGGAAGACAGAAATCAGCCGTTTATGGTTATGTGGCTACTTTACTATGATCATCACCTGTAGTTCATGCCCGAAGCGTCATAATGTGAATAGGACTTTATCATGGTGTGCTGTATCAAACAAACAAGTCCCATATTAGATTATATCCAGCTAAAGTTCTTAAGTTTTACACCACTAATAATAGAAGTAAGACTTTTAGGAATCCAACTGCTAGTAAAACATCTAATTACTGAAGCCAGTTGACATGAATGAAGTATAGTAGCAACTCGGTCGGGCGGGGTGAAGCAAAGCTCGTTTAGCATCATTTTTGACTTACTGGCCTAAACGTGTTTAGTAACTATGACGTTATGTAGACTAATAAAAAGTTGCTGCCAACGCCAAATTAAAATTACTACAAACCTTTATCAAATCTAATATCCCAAAAGTTACTGTATAAATCCTCCCATTATCCTACTTTTAGAGTATTTTTTTACTGAAGAATATTAACAGAGTATTTTGCAAAAAGTATTAAATGTAAAAACGTATTATTGTGTATTAACTTATTCGGAAGTAAAGATAAGCAATTTAAGATAAAAGTTTCTTGTTAGTCATAAAAAGCTATTTTTGATCAGTTTAAATATATATATCAGACATTACTCTTAAATAAGTTTGAGATGGTAAAGCACTACTTATATAACTAACTTATTCTCATAGTTTCGTATTTATATGCTTAGAAATTTTAATCAAATTAGTTTGGTGATATCATTGAACTTTAAGAGGAATTTAATAAGCAATACCATATCTGATAAGATGAAAGAGAACAGATAGTGCATAAATAATCAGAATATATTTGTGTGTAGTGTGGCAGGTATAATGTTAAAAATAAAACGAAGTTGTAACACGCATTCACGACGGGGATGAATAAATTATGCAAAAATTTTCAGAAGAACGATGAAAGTTATCAGGTTTCTTTTATCTCTAGGTCGATTCATATATATATATATATATATATATATATATATATATATATACATCATAATAACTATAGAAGAATCTACAACGTTTTTATATTAGTCAGTCATCTTGCAAATGACATAGTTTATAGTTGCAGACCTACAGAACCTGGTGTGAGGTTGCATCAGTTGACATTTCTACCTTTGACGTGAAAGATCTGTTGAATCACTTTAGCTTCAAATAAACCTCGAAAATGCTAGTGGGAAACAGTAAGATGAATAAATACTCAAACGTTTATCCTACAGTTTACTTTTATTCCAACTACATGGTACACTTATTTAGATTATAAAATCATGACTGCTGTTCACTAAATCAAACTATTAACAAGCTGTTGGAAACGTAAGTAGATTTATATGTGACCTGGTATACAGAAAATAATAATTTTACACCTACTGCAACATTGCGTCAGCAACTGACCAGTAAGCACGTAAAATGTTTGAGTAACAAATGTGATCAGCACCCCCACATCCCGTGCAAAATTCTAAAATGCATGTTACTGGGAGGCAGTACCTAAGCATGAAAATGTAAGTGTCGGAAGCATACTTTACGCCCCTGAGTCTTTGTCAAGACGCGTTGTATACTCTGAAGATAAATAGTTACATGAATTTTAGTGTTAAATATCGTTAATTTAATGACATGATTGGAAGTCAAAAAGAAAATGCTTTCTTGTGAAAAATAGAAAATAAAGCGCATATAAGGATAATGGTACAGTTTAATTTTTTGGATGACTTTTCACGCAGGATTTATTGCTGATATTTATATCAGAGTAACCAAATGACTTTCAAACTTCCCTTATATAGTCCAGTGATTCATTGTTTCTTATCTTAAAGGTAATAAAATTTTCTAGATATCTGCAATATGTGATGTATCATTCTTGTTACACGAGTTAGACATTCATTCAATGAGCAGTGAGCTGTATCACTGTGTGCTACCTCGAATAGACAACCTAATACCGAATTATACTCTGTCATAATGCCTAAGTTGTACTTTCATATTGATCACATAAGAAGGCTTCATTTATTGAATAGAGACTGGGGGTTTTCATCGCTGCAAAGTTCTACAGAAACAAAGAGGATCCTATATAGTGGATAAATACCTAGTTGTCCTTGACAGATTCTCATTACAACTATTAAAATCCCTGAAAAAGTTAGTTAGAGAAATGACAATGAAATTGTACCCTACCTAAAAACCTTGAAACCCGAGTCGACACTTTCTCATCACTCATTCTATCAATTTACTGCCTACAAATTAATATACATATACCTTTCCATTTGTACGAAGATGATAATCGTCATCAACTATTGAACTATTAGTTTAAGGTTACTCCAGTTCGCCTCAACGACAATTATTAAACAGATTTCAACTTTAAGAATGATATATAGTATTTTATTCAGATACAGTAAAGCCCGTCTCATCAACCACTTAGATGACGATCTAAATCTCTTTACTTAAGATGAAAGACATTTCCTTCCGTAAAGCGCATAAACCTCATATGTTATTTCATTATTGGCTACAGCTGCCCTTATATTCAGACACTCAATTGAATTTCTGTGCTAGATGTACTGGTGTTTCATCCTCACTATGCATAACGTGTGGATGACCAGTAAGTTCACCCAGTGGAGTGCGTGTTCATATTTTACATGAAAGTTTATTGGTCACATGTTGAATAATGTTTCAGTTTAGAAATTCGAAACCTAAAGTGAATGTCAAAACTATTTTCCTCAGAATTATCCCGACGGAAAGTTTAATAATGCTCTAATAGTTTATGCTTTTTCACAGATTACAACGAAATTTACTCAAATTTTATCTAATTTTTAGTGTAATGGCGATGAGATATTTAACGAATCCACATATATTGAAGTAAGTAACTTAAATTTTATCCGTCTCTATTTGCAAAGTAAGCCTAGTTATTTCAATGTGGAAAACTTCGTTTGAGAAAAAAAGAGGATAACTTAGGTTGACTTGATTTTTCGGGAGAAAAAGGTGAGACAGTATAGTTTAGGATATCTCTTTATAGCAAAATACAACCTATACACTGATTGATCATAGGAGGGTGACGAATCTCGGCCCAAATAGCTCAGTGGTAACGCCGTTGTCTACAACACTGGGTGGCGCGGCTTCGAATCTCAGACGGAACATCACTTCTGTCAAGGTTGCAGTCATGTCTTCTTGAAAAAAGCGCTCAGAAGCACGAAGTCTACATCCATTGCTTCCTAGGGATTGCCTTTAATCAACTAAAATGCAATCTCACTGAATGTGAGGAACTATTCAGTAAGTATTTTGGATTCATTATTTCGAACAAGTTGAATGATAATGAACTGACGAAAACGTATCATAAAATAATTTAAATATGCTCAAGGAAACTGTAACTGCCTCATCCAAAAGTTATATATCAGTGGGACAAATTAATCTGCCAGTAACTGAGAAGCCGCTTACGATTGTAAAAGACTCATAAACATGTAAGGTTACATCGAAAACTTAAGATGGTTCAAAATGCCAGCGGAGAGATTTATTTAGTCACAAGAACCACCTATAAGATGTTCGGAATGATTATGCTTCTTAGTGAGGCGATTTTGTTGAAACGTTATTTCGAATGATGCATATGTTTACCGTACTCATTTCAAGAGTGGATAAATAATTCTCAAAACTGGCTGAGATGTCCGAGTATCAGTTGGTCTATTTAAATGGTCACTAAAAAGAATGTGTAAAAATCACCACATGTATTTAGCTCTTAGAAACTGGGAATGATATTCCATTTACGAAGTATAGGTAACCAATTAGAAAGGGAGCGAGTTATAAGTAATTAACATGAAGTAGTTGATAACATTTTAAAATTCAGAGTACTTGATTTGACCGCGTGAAAGGCTGATTATACTTTTCATCTCTTTATCTTATGTAATTCAGCTGTCAGCATGTAAACTGGCAAGTCTTTCTCTTCAGTAAACTGAATCTATTATTGATACAATAGATCAACTGATATATGTCTCAAACTTGTAGTATTATTTAACAATGCAACCTTAATAGGTTTAAGTTTATCATATTGCAGCATATTTTGCCATGCGAAAAAATCGGTTGAGGAATCTCAAATGTCTGGCATTCATTCTTGTTTTTCACTCTTTCAAACAACATCTGCATCAGAGTAGAACTCAATAAGGCTGGATGGACTGTCGAGTGCATACAGTTGAGCAAATTAAAATTTAATCGAAACTTCAATAAAAGTTTGCGAATTAATTTGGATTACAGCTTTAGGTTTTTGCTGTTCTTCAAATATTGAAACAATCCTATTTAATCACAGAAAAACACAGATGATTGCAGAGGTGAATGGGAAAATTCCTTTCTAAAGAAATTTGTGGACAAACATGAATGTCATAAGATGATCCAGAGGAATTTAAGAAGCAGTTATATCTCTCCTAGTTGACGTACTTTTAAACGACACACTTTGAACCCTATTGATGCTCTTAGATCTCGATTACCAGAACTAGAACGACAACTGTCACAAAACACTCTTATTCTGTTTGAATTATCTGCGGACGAAAAGAAAGGATTTGACAATTACTTTGGTATTTTCACCAACAAACGCAGTGATGACGTTTATATAAAATTGAATAAGAGTCTGAAGTTGACAGCCTGTGAAACTGTTTTCCTTTCGTGCCCAGAAAAATACATATCCAACTGTTCCGGGGTATCTCTGTCCTTTATTGAAATGAAATCCCGCTGAACAACGTCCAGTATTGATTAACTCAACACACAAGCGTAGTTCGAGAATTTGACTCATCAAACGAAAGGCCCAGTTCCGATGTCACCTAATGACCTTGACCACTTCAAATCAACTTTTTTAACTTACTGTATGGATTATATAAATAGAAAATCCAATATCTGACACATTCTGTCAAAGGAATATCGGAATGAGCAGAGGGGTTCTTCAGGAAAATTAAAGCTTAGTCATGATACGCCCTGACAAAAATGGTAAAAAAGTGCTTTTGAGCGAATCCAACTATATAGATGAGCTTTAACCCATTTTTTCACATGAAAACAAATCTTCAAAACAGATGGTTCAGAAAGCCCCTGCAGAATAAACATAGCGTCAACTGTCCAAGACATTAAAATGATGAAATGTGAAGCAATGATCAGCACTGAACTCTACGAACAACACTCATCACGCTCCTCGATCTCTCAACTATATGGTCTACGGAGAAGTTGTTACCCGTCGTCCAATACTGGACGTAACTAACTCTACTTACCGTTCAGTTGTCTCGTCAATACACTAGATCCAGTGAAGAATAAAGTTTAAAACATGGTTTAGGTGAAACGTTTTACTTCATTGATTTAATCAAGAAAGACAATCTGTCAGGAAAGAGGACTTTTCTGGATGTCCTCTCTTTGTTCATAAATGTCCCACCAAGAGAAACTGTTTATTTTCTGTGTAGCTTCATTTAGTCTCATAAATTAAACACTGGTATTCCGAGTCACTGTTGAAAAGAGTTTCCTAACTTTACCTTCAGATTTAGCAACAAGATCTACAGAAACATGGCATGGCAGAGATCACCTCTAGGACATCCTCCTGGCTGACGTCTTTATGGCTAGCCTGGGAAATGCAGCGTTAATGAAAATAATCAGCAAGTTTCATATCTACGGACGATACACATGTTATCTTTATTATTTGTGACGAGAATAAAAATTGCTAAAACATACTTCAAAGCTTCAGGCGTGTCAACCTCTTTATCAAATCCACTCCAGAGTCGAACTCGAAATTCCATTTTGTTTATGTTCAACTACAAATAAAAAATGACAATACAGTCCAGAGAGCTACTTACAAAAAGCCAACTTGAAACAGGCAGTTTAGTAGTTAACCATAAAGAGGAATCCTATCAGTTCACTCTCCTGAAGAATATAAAGAATATGCATGGAGGATACAGTCCATGATGAAAGAAATTCTGATGAACAATGGACACTCACTCAAATGTAAGGACCAAATGACAGACCATTCTTTGCCGTTGGAAGTTCATTTATCAGTAGGCAGAAGATAAACGGGAGCATTAGGCCACATCAGTGTATATATATCGGTTTAATTGCTTCAATGGAGCCGAGTACACCAACCGTACCATCAGCCAGCTTGTGAACTGCGTTTGCCAATACTGTCTAACTTGGCTGATAAGTGGAGAATGGAAATTCATCGTCAGTTGTGTAACAGAAAACATGGCAAACTTGGGACACCGGTACTTTTGATGTCTTTCAAAATTCTGTACAAACTGTAACCAGGCCACTCGAGAGGAGTGAGGCTAAGATAACTGGGCACAGCTAAAATTTTAGCAGTTAAAAAGTTCAAACCATCATTACGCGTTCAAAAAAATGCATACAATAACGTTCATTCTAGATAACTCCCAAGTGACGTAGATATTTCTATTTTTAAGCACTCTGTTGATTTCGCCATGATGTATCTTTCCTTTTTGACCCATTTTTCCTATCCTTCCCGTTATACATTTACGAGTGTGTAGCATAGAGAATGATTCCATCGAAATAAAAATTTTCATCCCTGCAACCGTTTTCCCAGCTTTTAGTTTACTTGAAATTTTCGTACACATTTTTCTGCTGCTAACCTTAAAACAAAGAAAATATGACTCAGAGTTGATTATTGCATTGATATATATGTATACGTATCTTATACTCAAATGTTGTCACCCACTTCATCTGCCTCACTTTGTTTCTGATAACCTTCTACAACCTTTCATTACACTTTTTGAATTCCCCTTCCATTTGTCTTGTTGTCTGACTCTGAAAAAAACAGGTAAAATTTTAAACACTTTAGTTCAAGGGTTTTTATAGGCCGTCTACTATTTGCAACAATTCTTATGATGAAACAACAGTGAGTTATTTGATTACAAATCCTTAACACAATAACTCACGCTTGAGAAATATAGTTTATTCATAGCCTAGGTAACGATTGTTTATTGTTATTTACAAAGAATCCTGCTTAATTATTGGATTTTGACTTTCTCGTGGTTAAAAATTCATTTTGATGAATAAAGAGTATTCTTTTCGATACCTTTTTCAGGTTCTGGAGTTATATTTACATATTTCGCAAATTCGCGTCAACAATAGTGAAATTTCGTTTAACAGTTTGTCGATAGTATTTTACACTTGACGAATTATCTTCGGAATTTCCTGAAGATGATTTCTCAACTGTAAAATAATATCAACAGACTATGAAACGAAATCTCAGTATTGTTAACGCGGAAACTATGTAGTATGAAAACACTTCAGTAAAGCCTGAAGAAGTGATCGAAAAGAATATTGTTTTTGACAAAGAAACAACTAACAGTGGATAATGTTATTCCCACTAAGCAAAATAAGTTAAATTTTTTAGCCAAATTCTCATCTAAACCTCATTAAATTATTTTTCACTTAATTTTTTGCAATACAAATTACTTGAAGAGTGACAGCTTCTTCAATGAAATAATGCAGAAGCGTGAAACTTTCAGAACGAAATATCTAAACACAGTAAGTATTTATCCAATTACTTTTTGAACACAACATTTTGTAGTAATTTTTCCGTCTTTGAGTTTGTAAGCACGTGGTGATTGCAGTAAAACTACTCATAGATTAAGTGTCACCGACCTGAATGATTGATCTGTAAATCAGCGTTCAGTTCATTGTATGTTGTTTATCACTGATATGATATAAGTTTACTTAAAAGATACCAAAAATATCCTACATCTATCCTACACTGCGCCTACACAGTAAATTTAGGAAGGCTTGATGCCTTAATTGGAGTAGTTTTACGTGCACTTTACTATCAAGTAGGGACGTAAGCACATCAGTTTCACTCCACTTAATGTCCTAGTGGAAGTAATTACTTGAATGTATGTGCACATATACCTTTATATATGTACAGAAAAATATTTTAGCTAACCACACTGAAATTTGTTATATGGGCCAAATAAACTAGAAGTCGATATTAGTTATTTTGCGAATTTATCAATGACCTGGTGATTTAATGAGTTTTGAAAAGACAATGTACCACATAATGTAATGGCCCCTAAGCAGATATCGGTTTTCATGTCGGATAGCCATATATAGAATAAAGTCATATTTATGACGTTTTGAAATAAAATCCTTTGCAGTCACTTTTCTGAAATCTAGATGAGTTCGTTTTACTTCTTCTAAATCCATAAATTCAAGCTTCCATTGTAACAAGTAGTTTATCTGTACTACTCAGTGTATACCTTTCATCTAAAGTTTCACATATAAATAAAACGTTTAACTTCGAGTGACTGCATAAAAGCGGACATTTATGGAACATAACTTACTTGCAAAGTATCTATTTTCCTGCCCCAAAACTTGTGCTTTATGTAAATGCTCAGCATTATGGTGATAATATGTTAGGGAATATGTAACATGAGGTTTATGTTCATAAGATTTGCTACCAAAAATAATGATACACTGTGCAGTTTATTTTGTTAAAGATTTGTAGTTTTGCTATGATGGAAATGAGTAGTTATTAACATAAATTTAATCAGAGAGTAACTAAGCAACATGTCATCCAGCATGGTTATTGTGGAATTTGTACTGAACACTTTAGACTCAATTTATAAACTGAACCTGAGATATTTAACTGATTATAGAAATTATCATAGTTTTCTTAAAGAATGAAACTTTAAATATTTCTGACTTTTGGATAGTGGAATAAATTGTGACTAATATGAAAAGCTAATGTGTATAAAAACCGGATAATCAAACAATATGAATTTTACACCCCTTAGAATTTAGCAAAACAAAAGCATATTGTATTGGTCAAAATGATAGTTCATGACGTTTCCATCTGTAAATACAATGAACTTCATCTGGTCTTCTCAAATTTCAGATTTTTTGACGCTAAGTAACTTCGAAAGATTAATTAGTGTGTTTGTTGATCAACGTATATTTGAATGAACTGACAAACTGACAGTAATTCGTATGTATACAAAAAATATTAAAAGAAAGAATGAAAAAGTCATTAAAAATTGTCAAAGCTTATGCAGAATGTGCAATTGAATTCAAGCAATATTATTTTAACCTACACTGAAACTGCTGTATAATGATGCTGTATGCTGCAATGTTGTATAATGATTACTGTAGGATTGTATTACAGGACATATAAGCTTTTACTTTAAGTAATATATTTTTGGATATTTTTGTCTCATCACTATATCGTTACCAACTGTTTTCTCTTACTATTTTAATAAACAGGAACAAAATCAGGCCTTGTTGTCCGTATTTTCAAATTCCCATGCGCATTTGAAAAGCGACCGCTATATAAAAAATCAAAATGCAAAAATGCAAATTACTTCAGTTCTCTGCAGTCCCATATTTTCTCGTTCCAATGAAAGTCCTATTGGGGTTGTTTGCTTAATTAGTAAACGAAGAGACTCTCAGTAGGTTAAAGCTTTTCTTTTCTAATACTGTTTTTCGATAAATGAAATTGAATAAAATTATTGTTTTCACCACCAATGAAATTGAATGAATTAATAGTCAGCTGAGATGTAGACAACTGCATTCATTTTTATGTTAAGATCACTCATAATGTACCATAAAGTTTATTGATATTATTAAGCCTAAAATCTCTTACTTTATCAGAAACTTTCATTAATACCAGATATAGAATTGTATTTGTATAAAGTATCATAATTTAGGAAAACTATACGATAAGGATTGGACGAGGAGATTAAATATACGTTTTTTGAAATCATTTATTTATCCTTGATATTTTAATTTTGATTATTTCCCTGAAGATGCTCGGACCAGACTTCCATGCGAAACGTCGGAATTATTTGATTTCAAACCCGCTGTGATTTACACAAATACAATTCTATATCTAATGTCAACCTTTTACTCAGCGCCCAATATTTGCCATACTATACGATCAAATCTTGATCATAGTTTATATAAATTTCATTAACACTAGTAAAAAAGTTTTTGATGACAACTTTGCCAAATGAACAAGCTTATTAAATTATCTTTATATCATAACCACAAGACGGGGAAAGACCATTTTTTTACAAATAACTGAGATTTAAAATGTCTGTGAGACATCACATCTTTGGTTAATTTTAACAACTTTGTTGATACTTTGTCGTTCAAAACCCCACATAAGAGATGGGCATTCTAAATTTCCTACCCCAAAAGACCGTTAAATACTATTGAACATCAAAAACTCTTCTGAAAAGTAGTTATTATCACTCACCAGTAGCTCTGATAAGAGTTAAATATGAGACACCAGGTTCAACCATGAATTACACTCATTTCCTGAAGCGTAATTCACACGCAAGGTTTATAAAATCCTGTCAAGATAAATTATGTACATTAATAGTTTTTGCAAAATTCACGAAGAAATGCAGCCGTCAGTTCTCGTCGACCTTCTCATCTCTAAACATTGTATCTAGACTCATTTCATGACATTTCTGTTGAATTATTTCCGTTAATACTCACGCTCAAATCATCACTTGTTCCTATTTAACTTAGACCAAATCCTTTGAATGAAAAATATACCATAATACATGGTATAGGTTGTGCACCGTTCACTGTATCCAGCGATATGTATGAATTCTCATCTTATTTGTATTTCATAGTCACCGGTTTATATATATATATATGTATCGTGAAGTAATCTGATAATATAGTTGCTTGATCATGGTTAATTTAATTGAACATAAAGTCTGATGTTAATTTGAGTATCAAGCCTAGGAAACTTCATTTTCCCTAAAGCTTCACTTATCAACTGAGAGCCAAATTATATTCATATTACAGATCCCCATAAAGACAAAAGAAATTAAAGAACGGTGATTTGATTTACTAAGCTATGCAATTGCATTTATAACAGAATCTGTTGTTGGAAATGTGCAATTTGTTTCATGTACGACAGCAGTTTGTTGAGCATGGTAACAGGCAAAGTAGTACATTTAACAATGGAAACGTCATTTTAGTTATAAGATATTCAAAAGGTTTAGAAATGTTGAAGATCGATCGTGAGGCTTAGTAACAAGCAGCAATCACTTGTCATTACCTAAATAAACAGAGCTGCTTACGGCGGTGAGCGTTGCTCGCGGTACCATAGATATTTAATAAAGATGTTCAAGTTTGAATGACATAAGTAATATGACAAAATATTTGATGAGTGTGCTAACAGGGAATAACAGTTGATAATATTCTAAAATATTAGGAGTGATACCAAAAATGACAAAAACCTTGCCTGCCTAACTAGTTCACAAAGTACTAGCCAGTCCTAAGCCCGCATAAGAACGAAAGGTTTACCCATAGGGCCGACAAACGTACCTTGAAAAATCAATCCAATCGCCAAAGAAACTTCAAAACACAAAAAAACACAAAAAATAAAAATAAACTTATTCCTTGCTGCAATCGGAGAGACGAAATGATCCTGGTTGGTGAAATCCTTCGGAAAGCGAATTAGCAGATGTGTCTTATCTCGACGAAAGCGAAAGTAAACGTGGGGACATGGAATGCTCGCACCATGTTTGAAGCTGGCTGACAAGGCTGCCCACATTCCAAAAGAAATGAGAAGGTATGAGATAGATGTGCTTGGAATCTGCGAGGAATCTGTAGGTGGAATGGAAGTGGACAATTCAAAATGTCAACTAGCCTACTGGACACAAACAAGACGAAGAAGAGGAGGAGATGTAGGTTAATACCACTCACTATGTAGTGCAAAGTAAGGAAAGTTCGAAATGAGGTTGTAAGCCTTTTGAAGAAGCTGGTGCCGATAGACCGCAGTTGAAGTTGAACACCCAGAAGGGAAACAGAAGTGAAGGATGAAAGTACAAATGACATGTTGACGTGAGCCAGTCATCAGGAGAAAGTGTGAGATATTGGGCAACATAGGTGACGAAAGCTGTGTGGAAGAACACTTTGAAGTATGTGAAAGTGACGTGGAAGGAGACGTTCATAGCCGTGTAGTGAAGGAAGAGGAAACTAGATGAGGCAGGGAATGCATTTTGATGGAAACGTGGCAACAGATGGAGGAGAGGAGAGAAGAGAATTATGGTGAAGCATAGAATGAGCCAGTGCAGTGCGTTGCAGGAATAAACAACGAAAGGAGGGAGTGAATGCAGAATATAAAGCACTACACTTGACAAGGTAGTGAAGAAGAGCACGAGAAAGTATGAAAGATGCTTCCACGTTAGACTTTCAAGTGGAGCAGAGCAGGCTGTAGGCTGATATGAGAAACCTGAAAACGTTATATCAAATAACCAGGTCACTATCTGGGAAGAGACCAACGCAAACGAAACCAATGAAAGATAGTGAAGGAAACTTGGTCAACACGATAGAGGGAAACAAAGAATCACTTCAAACAACTCTTGAGTCGACCACCATTTGGAAGTCGTCTAGAAAAACCATCAACTGCCACACAACTATCAGTGAACACAAGCCCTCCGACAAAAGTGGAATTGAAGTCCTGAATGCCATAATGTTGTTGAAATGTGGGAAAGCAGCAGGACCAGATGGAATACAGCCAGAAACATTGAAGACGGACGCAGCGACACCAGTGGACATGCTCACACCACTATTGAAGGAGGTTTGTAATGAAGGGAGGAATGAAGGGAATGTAGCTGCCCGGTGAATGAAAGAAGGGCTATTTTATCAAACTCCCAAAGAAGGGTGACCTAAGTCTTTGCAAGAACTGGCAAGGAATCATGCTCCTCTCCAGCCGAAGCAGGCAAAATATTGACCTGCATCATCCTGGAGCGACTGAAGGGTGGTTTGGATTCAAAATTACGACCAGAACAGGTGTGGCTGGCTGCTTTCACGAAGAACAAATCATGTGCGGCTCGAATTGCAAGGCTACTCTAAACATCATCATAGAACAGAGTATAGAATGATAGTCAACTCTCTACCTCACCTCAACTTCATCGACTTTGGATACACCTTCGACAGCGTTGATCGAGAAAAATAATTTGGTAGGCAGCTGCAGCTGCTTCAACACTATAGTTTTAGTGTCACAAACCTTTATCAACCTCATTCAACAGCCCTGTGCTGTAGGATGCTACATGCCAAGTGATTCACAATGGAAAGTTGTTCAGTGACGACTTTGAAGTGAAGACAGGAGTGAGACAAGGTTACCACCTACTATCACGGATGATCCTTCTGATTGTGGTCGACTGTACTGGATTGGATCATGCAGCAAACAACTGTGAGGAGCGAGAAGCGGTGCATACGCTGTTTGACCGATGAAAAGTCCCTGGAAGATATAGATTTTGCTGAAGAATTACCTCTTAAATGACACAATTTCAAAGATTCATAGGTGAAAACTAACAGGCTGGTAGAAGATGTACCGACGAAGCAACTTCCCTCAGGTGAGGATGGAGAAGGTACTGGTGAGGCAAATACCCAACCAACAACATGCACCAATCACCATCAATGGGAGAAACTTAAAGTATGCGGTCTCTTTCACCTATCTAAGCAGCACCGTTTCAACTAAAGGTGGTGCAGTACAGACGAGGATGTCAAAGCCAACCACAATCGAAAAAGCAAGACAGGCATTCATTAACCTGAAACCTGTGTGGAGATCTACTGCACTACACTGCACCTCACTCAGCATAAAGCGTCAACAAGATCCAGATTTCCAACAACAATATCAGTCAAGTCAGTGCTCCTATATGGTTCAGAGATTGGTAACCTTAGGAAAAGCATTTCCAACAAACTACTGTCATTCATCAACACCTGCTGCCTACGCTCACTCCATACTGAAGATGAGATCAGATGACCAGAATCATAAGAATAAGCAACAAGGAACTCTGGCTGGCCAGGCGAGGCCATACCAGTCCAGGCCAGGTCGTCGAGTGGAATCCGAAGAGGAAACGATGAGTTGGGTGTCTTATTCGAGGGTGACGTGGAGGAGATGGTGTGAGGAAGAAATGAGAGCTAGTGGGCTGTCGTTGAGCCACGTTCAAAAGTTTACAGAGAAGAGAGTTCAGTGTTGACGTGCTACTGAATCCCTGTGTTCTACTCGAAACCCAAGGGACAAATAATAGCAATTAAAAATCACGAAATCTAAGAAACGAATAGAATGAGAGTTTGAAGCATCGTACGTTTCGAAACGCTGAATATTAAGTCCATGAAAGAACCAATAATGGAGTAGGACGTTTTAGTATACATAGTTCTGACTTTTATATTTGAGTTACAAATGCTTTATCATTGCAGAAGAGGAGGGTGCCCTGTGACTTAGGCAAGTCTCTTCTCACTTTTCAGGTAACTTTAAAAAGGTTGCTGTTGAGAATAAACTACTAGTTTTGACAAGGGGTGCCGACATCTCATTTTTATGTATCCTCTGTTACCTCTCTACAGCCATGCATGATTGTGTTCTTGGTATCTTTTGGACAAGTGCTGAGTCGAATGACCAACGTACTTGATCTCATAGCAGCAAGTGAACTGTTGGGCTCATGGAAAGGTGACCAGGTACTAGATCTTGTTGTTGAGGTATTACGAAAACAAGCTGTAAATTTCTGCAAAAAGCTGTGTCGAAATTCGATTGTTTAGCATAGCGAATGAAAACATCTTTTCCTAACCGCTCGTTTTCATTTTCTTATATTTTAGATCATCATTGTTAAAGATTAGACAGTTTTATTAGATAGCCATGATGTCATCCCCACTACATTATATCATCAGTGAATATCTGAGTGACAAAAATTTCAACTTATGCTTATGAGGTCATTTTATGACTCACAGTTATCTCAAACCTAAAATTGCATATCAGATTACTGATTTTAAATTTTCGGTATCACAGATTTCATTTTCCTTTTTCCTTTTCTTAATAAAGATTTACACAAGCAGACGAGTTTATTATTGATGAGTGTTTCCGATACACTGCACCCATTCTGCTCAGTTCACTGTCATACCAAAACGAAAGATATGTAAGGGATAGAACTGAGGTGAGTGGTTTACTGTCATAATATTTATGTCACACACAAAGCTACACTAACCTATAGCTAAAGGTTATCATAGGTAAATTTTCAAGATTTCGGTAAAGTAGCTCCTATAGAGATGAACAAATTTCACATAAAAATCTAATTAGCATATTAGTGAATCATAGCCTTTACTGTGATTTTTAAAAAAGACGGATGAGATATTCAGAAATTGATTTTCATAATATTTATATGGTGGAAAAAGAGATTTCAATGACATATAGGCACTACTCTAAAAGAAGCTTGAATAACCAAGGAGCATATTTAAAAAGTTGTGAGTGTTATCCATTTAAGCTGCATCATTCGAATAAAACTAATATTTCTGAATGATTTCCTTATAATATCTTTTCAAGGTCATCACTATAATTTTACTTAATATACCAAAAAACAGTTCAGTGGAGTCCGTTTTTGACCAACTAAAAATTTGCTAGAGGCTAAGTGTACAGTTAAAATTCGTTTATTCAGAAAAAATAGCTGTACAATTATTCATATTCTGTGCAGTTTAGCCATGGCATGTTCTTCAGCCAATAGCACAAAGCTAGTATTCACTTAAGATACTGATAAATGTTTGAGTATCAGTTGAATAATAGCCAAAGGTACCTACGTCTCATCGGATGAGTAGCAAATTCACTTCGGATTTCTAGTTTATTCGATGCGTTAGTAGTGAAGGCCATGTGGAAAAGGTGGTTAACACCTTATGTGGAAATATTCAGAAACAGCTACTTCTAAAATAAATGTCATACAGTAAGCTGAACGTTTAACATTTATTCCTGTGTAACATAGTAATTATTCGGTGGTGTTCTCATCTGGTGATAAACACTGAAGTTTGTTTTACACATTTATTTCAGCATTAATTGAACACCTTTTCCTTACTGAAGAATATTCAGTAATTTGAGATAGAAAGGTCTTAGTTCTTCGTAGACGGTTTCATACTGACATTTATTAGCGGAAAATACACACAAATACTGAAACCAAACACTGGAAAACGCAGTAAACCGAAGTGCATCTGGATGTTCATTATCACCATTCTTGCTAAGTCTTGTTACAAAGGTACTAATCTTCATACCACTTGCACTTTCGACTTTACAAGGAGTGACTTAATTCTTGGAAGGTGGCTGGTTGGCTTGGAATACACAGGCATCATACTCCTGCCTTGTGAAGATTCTGATAAAATATTGAGTCTATTGAATGCCTTAGGCAGAAATCTAAGTTTGACACGCGTTTCGGTTTTGTCAGGTACAACATAATGGTTCAGAGTAGGCTTGAACCTACCCATCATTTAGGTGTAGAGAATGAGGTGTAAGAATGCACTGATCACTTCACTTACTAGGGAAGCTGCATCAAACTAAGTAGTTTGATCACCGACAACATCTCAGCCCAGAAACAAAATGATCGTTTTGCATTTGCCAACTTGCATTATCTCTGGTACTGACATTTGACTACCTAATAAAAGATGAACATACTTCACTGCAGTTTGCTCTACCCAGTTACAAGGCTGTTGGATATGTCCACTGCATGCATAGAATATGAAGGGAAGATTTTTCAACCCAGGTCTTGTCGTGACATTATGGAGGATTCCATATGTGAGTGACTTCGAGTTTAAGCATGGGTAGAATGCAAAAAAACTAAGTCAGTTAAGGATTTTGTAAAATTTTATTGACAAAGGTGATGTTAGCCTTCATTACACGTGCCTGAACAACACCTATTTTGATGTGCAACCTTGGAATTGGGTTAGAAGGAAGCTTTAAATGCTCAGATTGAGACATGTGTTCATAATAACTTATTGTTGGTCTGAGTCATGTGGACAGGTACAGATTTTTCGACCGAGTCCTCAAGACGGCTGAAATCAATGGATAGCGGCTTTTTATGACATTTGAGAAAATCACTCGTAATGGTACAAAGGAACCTCGCCTGGTTAACTAGTTTACTAGTTACTAGCCGGTCCTAAGCCCGGGTAAACAGGGAAGGTTGGGCATAGGGCTAGCAACCCTACCCCGTAAAACAAATCTAACCGCTAAAGAAACTTCAAAGCACAAACAAAATATAAAAAATGAAAACAAACTTATTCCCCGCTGGAATCGGAGAGGCGAAATGACGCCAGTTGGTGAAAGCCTTCGGGAAGCCAACTAGCCGGGCCGATGTGTCTTCTCTCGATGAAAGCGAAAGTAAACGTGGGAACATGGAATGTCCGCAAGATGTTTGAACCCAGTAAGGCAGCCCAGATTGCAAAGGAGATGAGAAGGTATAACATCGAAGTGCTTGGGATTTGCGAAAGCAGATGGAATGGCAGTGGACTCTCCAAACTGTCAACTGGAGAATCAATAATCTACTCCGATATTGTCACCCAGACGACAACCACGAGCACACTGAGGGAGTGGCTATCATGATGTCTCCAAGAGCATCGAAGGCTCTCATGCAGTGGGAACCAATCTCCTCCAGGATCATGACAGCAAGATTCAACTCAAAAGGAAGAAAGGTCACAATCATACAATGTTATGCACCTACAAATAATGCAGAGCAAGAGAAAAAGGAGGAATTCTACAGACAACTTCAATCAACACTGGACAAGACGTCAGTTGGCGATATCAAAATTCTAATGGGCGACATGAATGCCAAACTGGGAGGGGACAACACGGGAAGAGAACTAACCATGGGTCGAGAGGCGCTAGGTGAAATGAATGAGAATGGAGAATTGTTTGCAGAATTCTGCGCATTCAACGATTTGGTGATTGGAGGCAGTGTGTTCAGGCACAAGGATATCCACAAAGCGACATGGACTTCACCAGATGGACACACTAAAAATCAAATCGACTTTATCTCAATCTCAAGAAAATGGAGACGCAGTCTACTTAACACAAGGTCAAGAAGAGGAGCAGATGTAGGTTCAGACCACTATCTAGTGCAAGGAACCTTCCAAATCAAGTTAAAAGCCTTCAAGGAAGCTGGTGATAGACCTCAACCCAAGTACAACACTCGGAAACTGAAGGATGAAACTACAAAGGAGATCTTCAAAGCAGCCATCAAGACAAAATGGGAGACATCGAGCAACATCCCTGAAGAAACCTGTGTGGAAGAACACTGGAAGTCTTTGAAAGCTATGTGGAAAGAAACCTGCACAACAGTATTAGGAAGGAAGAAGAAAGAAGACAAGGAATGGATCTCGACGGATACCTGGAAGCTGATAGAGGAGGGAGAGGAGGATGGTGAAGCAGAAGATAAACCAGTGCAAGGATGCTCAACGACAAGAGGAACTGAGCACAATGTATAAAACACTGGACAGAGAAGTGAAGAAGAGTGCACGCAAAGACAAAAGACACTTCTACGACACACTGGCAAGTGAAGCAGAACAGGCTGCAGGTAAGAGAGACCTGACGACATTGTATCAAATAACCAGGTTGCTATCAGGGAAGAGACCAACACAGATGAAACCAATAAAAGATGAAGAAGGAAATTTAATTACGAAAGAAGAGAAACAGAGGAAACGATGGGTTGACCACTTCAAGAAGCTCTTGAATCGACCACCACCTGCACTTCGTCCAGAAATACCACCTGCAGCCGCTGAATTACAAGTGAACATAATCCCCCAACGAAAATGGAAGTCCTGAACGCCATAAAGCTACTGAAATGCGGGAAAGCAGCAGGACCAGATGGAATACCGCCAGAAGCACTGAGAACAGATGCAGAGACAACAGCGGACATGCTCACACCACTATTGCAGAAGGTGTGGAGGGAAGAGAAGGTACCTGACGATTGGAAGAAGGGTTACCTTGTCAAACTGCCGAAGAAGGGAGACCTCAGCGTTTGCAAGAACTGGCGCGGAATCACTCTCCTATCCACCCCAAGTAAAATATTAAGCCGCATCATCCTGGAGAGGCTTAAAGATGCACTGGATTCAAAACTGCGACCGGAACAGGCAGGCTTCAGGAAGTACAAATCATGTGCTGACCAAATTGCAACGCTTCGTATCATCATAGAACAGAGCGTAGAATGGCAATCAGCTCTCTACCTCAACTTCATCGACTTTGAGAAGGCCTTTGACAGCGTCGACCGAGAAGTAATTTGGAAACTGCTTCAATACTACGGAGTACCGCAAACCTTTATCCGCCTCATTCAACAACTATATGAAGATGCCACATGCCAAGTAATCCACAATGGGAAGCTCAGTGATGCTTTTGAAGTGAAGACAGGAGTGAAACAAGGTTGCCTACTATCCCCCATGATATTCCTTATTGCAGCAAACAGTAGGCAGCGAGAAGAGGGGGATACACTGGACGACGGAAAAGAACCTAGAAGACTTGGATTTCGCCGATGACTTGTGTCTAATGTCACATAAACTTGAAGATCTGCAGGCAAAAACTAACAAGTTGACAGAAGAGGCAGCTAAGACGGGACTTCAGGTGAATATAGAGAAGACAGAAGTGATGAAGATACCGCACCACCACCACCATCAACAACAACAACAACAAACTCCAATCACCGTCAACGGGAGAAACTTGAAGGAAGTAACCTCCTTCACTTATCTAGGAAGCACTGTTTCAACTACAGGCGGGACGGACGAGGACGTCAAAGTCAGAATCGGAAAAGCAAGACAGGCGTTCATTAGCCTGAAACCAGTGTGGAGATCTTCTGCACTCAGCATGTGGAACAAGATACGGATTTTCAACACCAACGTCAAGTCAGTGCTCTTGTATGGCTCAGAGACTTGGCGCGTCACGAAAGGCATTTCCAATAAACTACAGACATTCATCAACAACTGCTTACGCTCGCTGCTGAAGATCAGATGGCCAGAAAAAATAAGCAACAAGGAACTCTGGGAACGAACCAACCAAGAACCTATCACGCAACAAATATGCAGGAAGAAGTGGAGATGGATTGGCCATGCACTGAGAAGGCCGACTGAGGACATCACGCGTCAGGCCCTCGAGTGGAATCCCCATGGGAAGCGACGAGTTGGACGTCCGAGGGTGACATGGAGGAGGTCATGCGAGGAGGAAATGAGAGCTTCTGGGCTGTCGTGGAACCAGGTTCAAAAGATCTCAGAGAACAGAGGTCACTGGAGGCGTGCTACTGAAGCCCTATGTTCCACTAGGAACCCAAGGGACTAATAATAATAATAATAATAATAATAAATGGTACAAAGGAATACAATCTTCGATACCGTCAGACTTCAGCATTTTGCTAACCTTTATTTTCTCATATTCTAACTAATATTTGCCTAATTTCATTTAACGTTCTTCACTCACTTCTTCCTTGCCTGTTGCTGTGGAGTGAGGCAAACTGGATCGATGCATTTTTAGAAGAGGTCTTACCCTGGTCTGCTTGTCTGCTTATACACACTTCTGCTGCTGCCAGTATTAACATTACTGAATCACAATAGTTATTAGTATGTTGATGAACAAGTTAAGAAACGGAAAACCTAAATTTTACAACTTTATCACAATACTATGTGTGGTCCGTACAAGTTTAAGTGGTTCAGAAAGGCAAATATGAAAATATTTTGTGCTCTTCAGGCAATCAGATGCATGTTCATAAAAAGGCAATATTTGGTAATGCACTTCGAATTATTCCGTCAACAAGAATTCTATTATTATCAAGTGTGGAATATGATTTTTTGAATACGAATTGAAATATCATTAGTTCCCCATGTATTTACAAAATGGATTTTAACTGGTTTTATTAGAAACGTATTTCAGTTTTTGGCATATATTTTTAGAAAGACGGTCTTGACAGTTAACCCAAGGTTTTCACAAGACTAGAATAAACATACAGATATTCTTCACACGGAAAAGAATTGAAATTTCTTCAAACTTTCGGGAGGAAACTTAACGGTTCTGATGTGATGATGCAGCAAAAAATATACTCATACTTGTCTTATCATAACAAGTCCATGAAAAGTTAACAAATTTTTTCTTAAACGGATTTTGATATCATTCTCGTATAGAGTCAGTATCTTCCATTGCACTTGCTCATTTGTTCATCTGATATATATATATATATATATATATATATATATATATATATATATATATATATATAGTTATTATTTCAGAAGACGTCCTATTAAAGCTTGATTTAATTCTTTCTCATTTTTTCGCCTCCATTCTTTAACGATTATAAATAAAAACTGATTGACGTAAGGATATGCTCAAAGTGGCTCGAAATATTTTCACTCATATGATGGATTTAACGGATCTTTTATTGAAGATTATGCAAGAAGCTCAAAATTTGACAAAGGCTGAGAGGTTTGTGTACATACTCTCCATTCAAATTATTTACCTGTTTCTTTTGAACTATACCTGAAATAGTGTGAGTTACAGAATGAACTAGTCATTTCCTAGGAAAGTGCGTTTTTAAACCATGGTTGATGAAACATGTATTTTATTCAATGTTTTAAACAACAATTTTAGTACATCGACTACTATTTCAGGTAAATAATTTACTAGAATGTTGACACAGTAGACACTTTAGATTATTACTCGTTCGCCTGGGGGTTTTAACCAATAGTCTTATTCCTTGGAATTCACTCCGTTCTGCATCTTTAGATGACACATTCTTCTCAGTATGAGCAACTAAGTACACGACGTGTTTCATGCACTTTATTTTCTTAGGATATACGAGTGACCAGTAAAAACATCTTTTTGTTCCGATTGCTGCAGTGATCTCATGATTTACCTCTTGGTAGCATCACTAAATATTACCATAATATGCAATAAATTGTTTATCGTGGTTTAACATTTGTATGAAGTCTGATGTCTCACTAATGAAGGTCAGTCTTCTCATCTAGTTACACACGTTGATAAAAGCTGTCTGTTTCGCATTACAACAGCCTAGTTTCGAAGTTACCCCTTTCTGGTATTTCCACCTGACACATTTCTCCATTCTTCAAGCTATGCTTTGTTTCTTCTGGGTAGCCAACAGATTGCTTTATCTACTTCCTAAATACCTTTTTGTAGGCATTCTTCTTTTTGATAATCCATAATTTACCTATAATTCTTTTGAAGATATCAGTTTGGTACAGACAAAAACTATCACCATTTTAATAAGAATATTTCATTCTCAGCTCTTTCTTAAAACTCGAATACAAATCGTGTAAGACTACTTTTATCGTCCAATCAACTCGTGGCATTCATAGCAAGTTTCGTAAGTTAATAAAGAAAATTGAGGAAATCAAGAGCACTTATTTGAGCTTAAAAACGAGGCTCCATTTGATTATTGTTTATTTCTTTTCAACTGCTTACAACCTTGATTATCAAAATATAATTATAATGGAAGTTTGATATAAATGCTCAATAAAGAGAACATTCCACCAAGCTGCTGTAACAGACCACCTAAAAGTATGAAGCAATCAATCGCAACGAGAAATCTTAAAACCTTTCAGCCATCACAGAACAGTATCATGATCATGTGCAACAAACAGTTTAAACATCTTAAAATTTTTGCAGACATGGAACAAACTGTTGCTCAACTAAAAGTGCAAAATCGCATTATTTGGTCAGTGGACAGATAAGTAAAACAATGTATCACCTTTATCTAGTGCAGCTCAAATAGTCAGTGCAAACAGATTGAGTTAACTGAAAAATAACGCAGCGAAATAAATCCAAACATCTAAATATGGATTCAAGGGAAGGATTATGTATCTCATAAAAGGTCAAAGTTAGCGGTTGGGTTAACATAATAGATTAGGAACTCGCGATCACTTTCTCTTCAACACACACGCCAAGTTCCTGTTGATTGGTAGTAACAGGCCTGATAAGCCGAAGGCGATTTGAGCTAGTTTATTTTTGATGAATTTGAAATACTCAGGATATTCACCTGATTCTTTATTAAAATTGTTGCTTCTTCTGAGTTATGAGCTGTTTCAAGAGTGTTTCTAACTTCTAATGTAGGCTGTTTTCTCTACTTCTATGTCTTTTGATGCCTACATATAAGCTGACTTACAGGGTTGAAATTCATATTAAGGTGAAACCGATAAATTTTCTATCGCACAAACCAATACTTTGCTTAGTATGCGGAAACCAACTTAACTGCAGGAAAATTCCTTCTTCTGTGTGTTGTCTTCAACCTTCTGTAAGTTGTACCTAAAATTTACTATCACAATTAGTTCCATTTGCATAACAAAAATAAAATCTCAGTAATCCGACTGATTTAACAAATTACCATAGGTTGTGTATTATCAGTAGTTCCTGTAAAAGTTTGTGCTATATTTTTCTCTTGATTGTTGTTAGCTTGTAATTTTTAGTTTCACCTTAATTCATCTGTAAAATGTATCTCTTTTAACCGCCGATGACTTTTATTTTGTAATAGTATTACATAAATTTGCGTTTCTTCAAGCAGCTAAACTAATAATAGTAATGATCGAAATATTAATAATCGCGGCATATTCAGTATGCATGTAGATAAATGGGAAAAGCGGAAGTGAAATTAAATTCAAATCGACGTTTCTGGCTCCAGGCTTCGTATTTATGCGTTAGTAACTTCTTTTTCCGTCAACTGATAAAAGGAAGTGTTCACAGCAGAGCCGTTAAATGACGGTCAGCATTACTCAGTCACACTGAGATGAACTGTTTGTTCACAGTCCTCAAATAGTGTTAACTATGCTGAAATTTCATTATTTGCCTATGTAGTTCATTATTGTTACAAGTGTACATGAACTTTCACAAAGTATATTTAAGGATAAACTCTCCCCATTTTGCTTAATAGCACTTTTTATCCATTCAATATAACAGATGTTCAGTGTTTTTGGTTGATTCAGAAACTGACGCACTAGTAGCAAAAGTTCTGGATGGATTACCAACAGCACCTAACAAAAACGTGAGTATTTCTGCACCTTTATTGCATACTATCATCAAAAATTGAGTTAGTTTATGCAACAAATACAGTTGATTGATATACGCTTAGAATAAGACCTACCAATGTCATTAATAATTTTACTACATACTTTAACATTCTTGACTGAACGAAACAATTTGTATACTGTGCACAAATTGAATTTCGCAGCTACAATGCAATAACTCTTGGAAAATAAGCCACTAGTCAAAACCTGTTTATAAAATACCTGAATAAGTTGAATAAATTCTTGCTTCTTAGTGCAATTTGCACTGTGTTTTGCTTGAAAAGGATCTTGGTTTTTTATGAAAACAAACATCTTGAAGTTCTCTTGATTACTATTTAGGGTCATGATTGGACTTTTACTGGCTGTGATATTTAAAGGTTTTTTGACATTTCGGAGTAAAAATAAATTAGTACAAACTGCTTAAGACCGAAACTGTTCATATACTTGTGCAAGAAGGTTTGGAGGATTATAAGTGATAAGTTCAAGTATACCTGTGCACACAGAATGGCGTCTATTTCCAGCCAAAAACTATCCACTCAGTCACTACGGTCGAAAAGTGAAAATCACTGATTGTCGAATACTTTATCGTGAATATGCAAGACAGTCACTGTTGAGTTCATAAGTATGAATAGCTGAAACTAAGTCGACAAGGAATGGATATGTGATCTAGGGAGATGAATTTTAAGTGCACCGTAACATTTCTGTGGTAAAAACCCAGTTATAAATTCACTGAGCTTATGAAATGCAAGGACGTTGCAAGGCGTTTGCAACTACTGAAGTTTTTTAATGATGTTCACACAAAATAAAGGTAGTGAAAGGATGTTTTCCTCGACCTGCTTCAAATACCTGAAGCACTTACTTAAGTATACAATTAAATCTCGAAAAAGAGAACTATATTGTATGTGGAAAAACCGTTGAAAAGATGGACGTTATAATTAAAGAGTAACTCAATATAATTTGTCAATAAAGAACGCACAATATCTAGTTTTACCATTTATCCTTCTCTTTAGACACTTTTCACTACGGCTGATGGAAAAGTTGTTACGGTAAGTGTAAATTCACTAAATTTATTCGCAACCATCATCACACGCTTTGCCATAAAATGATATCCGTATTATTTAGTAATGTATCACTGATATCCTCAAACGTATACCAGTTCTCTATAAAATATAAGAACTATTTCTTATTGAAATGATATTTGGAATTAAGACTTGAACACACCCTATCAGAGACTCAATGATTAAAGATTTTCATTGTAAGTCAAGAAGTGAAGCTCATTTTTTAAATTTTGTGAGAGACAGCCAAGTTGGGGAAATTAAAATGATTGAACACTGGGTGGATGAGCTACCGCAGAAATATGTTTATTAATTCCTAATAAGGTCACTTTTTCAGGCAATGAAACCCGTTAAAATTATCTTCTGAAAAACTGCAAATGTTTTGTTTTATGGAAAAACTGTTTTCAGGGTAATATGATAATTAAAATATCTAGCTTTCTGTCACATAATTATATTTTCGTTGTAAACTCATTTTGTCAAATGTATTTTAGCAAAAAGTATTTAGTTTCCTGAACCAAACAGGGTTTGATTAATCCATAACGTTCAGTTGAACTGAATACTGAGGAATGCAGAAGCGAAAACCATAACAAGTTCGATAACGAAACATCTAGTGGACTATGTGCATGATACTGATGCTTGCAAGTCCTAAAAAGTCATCAGTAGACTGAAAAGATGTGTGCCAATACAGAAGCTTAAGTTGTCAAATCGAACCTATGCATGTGGAAAGAAATGATGGTTAGCTTGAATCTGCCGTTGTAGCAGATGCGACTTCTAATTAAGTTTATAGACAAAGTGATGGAGTGGCCATAGGTCCACTCCTGGGACCTTCCTTAGAGGATGTCCTCACAAATTATCCCAACGGATGCATCTGTGTCCAGTTATCATGGGGAACAAAATATTACCACAAATAATTTGACGACAAATTTGACGTTAGTAATGACATCAACCGTGCAGCTCAGTTCGTCGACAGAACTAACGTGGTTCCTTCCAATCACAGATTCAGGATCGAATTTGAGCGTGACGATGACCTGAATATCTTGAACCCTCTATTTAGAAGAAGAAATGATCGATCGAAAATACCACTCATAGAAAAGAAACAGGGACCGGACAACTCCTTGACTATAGCAGTCGCTGTCCTGCCAGCTTAAATCACATTCTAGTCGAAAAATTTTACACCAGGGCTTAAAAACTCATGTTCTACGGACAAGCCCGAGGAATCACTAAAAGCCCACGTGAAGTGTCTTGCAGAGTTTGAATAACCAAAGAGATTTATTGCGAAGTATGAAAAAGAAGAGTTCGGAAGGACTAAGCATATGACTGCTGAAAAGGGGAAGGTTTTCATTCACTTTGCATTCCAAACAGATGCGATATCTAGAAGAGTAAAAGCAGGCTTAAGGAGAAACTCTCAAAGGGCTCAAGATTTATCAGTATGCTTTATCGCACGCTCAATGAGCCAATCCTAATCGGACAAATATCTGGCTCATGTGACCCCCAGCTTCAATTATGGACTCAGATGCACATGCAGTAGGAAGTACATTGGAGGAACTGAGAAGTGGATATACATTCAGTTCACTGAGCATATCCAGAAGATGTTGTGCCTGAAAAGGAGCAAGATTCTTATCAGTCCATCTAGCACGAAACTCATGGCTACATAACATAAAGTTGATACTTCTAGCTCTTTGGAAATAATGAATGCACACAAAATGCCCAAACTTCTATGCTTCGTCAAAGTGGTTGCTGGAAAATGCCTGCAACCGGACCAATGTATTATTATTATTATTTGTCTCTTCGGTTCCTACTAGAACATAAACATTCAGTAGCACATCTCCATTTCACTCTCTCCTTTCCAGTATTTTCAACACAACTCCACCTCTGCCCACAAGCTCTCATTTCTTCCTCACACCATCTCCTCCACGTCACCCTCGAATCGGACACCCAACTCATCGTTTCCTCTTCGGATTCCACTCGACGACCTGGCCTGGACTGGTATGGCCTCGCCTGGCCAGCCAGAGTTCCTTGTTGATTATTCTTATGATTCTGGTCATCTGATCTCATCTTCAGTATGGAGTGAGCGTAGGCAGCAGGTGTTGATGAATGACAGTAGTTTGTTGGAAATGCTTTTCCTAAGGTTACCAATCTCTGAACCATATAGGAGCACTGACTTGACTGATATTGTTGTTGGAAATCTGGATCTTGTTGACGCTTTATGCTGAGTGAGGTGCAGTGTAGTGCAGTAGATCTCCACACAGGTTTCAGGTTAATGAATGCCTGTAGTGTTTTTTATCGATTGTGGTTGGCTTTGACATCCTCATCTGTGCCTGCACCACCTGTAGTTGAAACGATGCTACCTAGGTAGGTAGGTAGGTAGGTAGGTAGGTAGGTAGGTAGGTAGGTAGGTAGGTAGGTAGGTAGGTAGGTAGGTAGGTAGGTAGGTAGGTAGGTAGGTAGGTAGGTAGGTAGGTAGGTAGGTAGGTAGGTAGGTAGGTAGGTAGGTAGGTAGGTAGGTAGGTAGGTAGGTAGGTAGGTAGGTAGGTAGGTAGGTAGGTAGGTAGGTAGGTAGGTAGGTAGGTAGGTAGGTAGGTAGGTAGGTAGGTAGGTAGGTAGGTAGGTAGGTAGGTAGGTAGGTGAAGGAGACTACTTCCTTCAAGTTTCTCCTGTTGATGGTGATTGGTGCTGGTTGTTGTTGTTCGTGGTGGCGGTGGTGTTGGTTGGCTATCTTCTTCACCTCTGTCTTCTCTACATTCACTTGAATAGTATCTCGTCTTCGCTGCCTCATTTTCTCTGTCAACTTGTTAGTTTTCGCCTGTAGATCTTCGGGTTTATGTGACATTAGACACAAGCCATCGTTGACGACATTTAAATCTTCTAGGTTCCTTTTCCCTGTCCAGCCAGCGTATCTCCCTCTTCTCGCTCCTCAATGTTTGTTGTATGATCCAGTCGACCACAATCAGGATTATCATGGGTGATAGTAGGCAACCTTGTTCTATTCCTGTTTTCACTTCAAGGGGGTAATTGAGCTTTCCATTGTGCATTACTTGGCATGTGGCGTCTTCATATAGTTGTTGAATGAGATTGATAAGGGTTTGTGATACTTAAACCGTAGTGTTTAAGCAGCTGCCTGCCGAATTACTTGTCGGTTGACGCTGTCAAATGCCTTTTCAAAGTTGATGAAGTTGAGGTGAGGTAGAGGGTTGACTACCACTCTATACTCTGTTCTATGATGATGCGAAGAGTTTCCGTTTGGTCCGCACATAATTTTTACTTCCAGCCTATTCCGGTCGTAGTTTTGAGTCCAGCGCACCCTTTAATCTCTCCATGATGATGCGGCCTAATATTTTACTTGGGGTGAGCAGGAGCTTGATTTAGCGCCAGTTCTTGCAATTACTTGGGTTATCGTTCTTCGAGAGCTTGTCAAGTTAGCTCTTCTTGCAATCGCCAGGTACCTTTTCTTCTATCCAGACCCTCTGCAATAGTGGTGTGTGTATAGAACCCGTGTATACAAAAGGAGAATTTGGTCACTGAGTCACTGACTTTCATAGTGACTGTAATTATATCTTGTTTACTGTTATATACACGATTCATTATTTCACTCATCTACTGATATAAACCCGATGAGTTAGTCTCAATCTTATGTGTTTTATTTCTTCGTGCATTGTATAATCTGTTGGTTAGTATTGTGCTTTCCTTTTCTTTCATTTCTTATCTCCTCTGTACACTGATTGAATGTTTTATCAAATATTGTTTAAATTAACAATGATTCTGATGGAAAACCTAAGACTTTTGATAGCAACGATGAACAGTGGATAGCAGTGGAATCCAGGACCCACGTTTCATGCTATTTCAGACCTGCCAGCCGCATTTGTCTGTCTTCCAGTAAATAATGTTTTCCTTACATAGTCTTAAATTCAGAGCCAACTGCTTCAAATACCAGAGGTGTCCACTAGTTGAATGAGTTACATTATCCACTTTTCGTAGGGCGGACATCGTTTCTGATGCCATCGTTTGTAATTTCCAGTCACTGGCTGAACGAAATTGGTAGAACATTGCTGGTAAATGGACTTATTCTTAAATGCTTTTGCAATACCACTAATTTCAGTGTGGTTGTAATGGTGAGCAGTGGTCAGTAGTGAAATCCGGGAATCACACTTCGTCTTATTTTGTAAAAGCCACAGCACTAGGATTATTGACTTTCCCTAATTTCTAACTACTGAGTGTGTTATCATACTATATTATTGCATATATGTAATTGTATCATATTGTCCAAATAACCACTGTATTGTAGACAGCACGCAGCTGATAAGTATTTGTGGAATAAAATTCCACTACTTTTCTCAGCAAATCTGGTCCTTCTCGGCTTTTCCAAAACTATTATCGTTTTCATTATCAACGTTTCCTCCCCTACAATCCGAATTTTTTATTACTATCTGACCTTTTTAAATCATACACCCACTCCCGCCTTTCGCATTACCATCTGCTCCGTGATGATTTCCTATATTTCTGCATTTAAATATCAATAGATGTTGGGTATCCGCTATGTATTTTTCTGTATGTAGAGAATCCATCGGATGGGTTCTTCCAAAACTCATGGATTCGGCAAATCGCATTTTTGTCTCATTCCCAGTTTGTTCTCAACACAGCATCAATAAACAATTTTTTTTAGTTTCTGCCTCAATTTGCTGATATTAAACACATACTGTTATACGTTTCGTTGTAATTAAATCAAAATTATTCATTACAGCTAAAAGATGTGCAAGAAAATTCCTGATTATGTCCAGCTGTAATTTATTTTAAGCAAATTTCTCTCAATTTTAGTTACCAGAAGAAATTCGAATTAGCCTAAACCAAGGCATCGCTGGGCATGTTGCTACTACCGGTATGTAATTTTCATACAACCTCAGATATTAGTCTTAATAGGAAAAATCATATAAATTAATATCCTACGGACAGAATTAGTAATGTCATATAAATTTCAGTTTTCTCAATATACGGGAAAGAATTGTTTGAATAAGAACAGGGTAGAGTTATTGAGTCTTTTAGAACTGACTTAATGAACCATTTCACCTGTGCAACATAAACATATTCCACTCTTATAAGATAGCCAATTGATTTTTTAAAAGAGGAGAGTATCGTATAGTTGTACACGGTTGTTCTCAAACTCTTAATTAAATGATTCGTTGTTATATGAAATTATTATCATTATAAAAATTACGAAAAACCTACCAAAGAATGGCTTGCTTTTGAGACCTATTCTAGCTGTTATACTTAATCAGTAACAATTCAAAGGTGAATATCAATCTTTAGACCAGTTTGGACTTCCGCTTGTAAACGTTTTTACTCTGATAGATAATCGAAATAACACGTAGGATTCATTCAATAAACGTTTATCTGGCTGATAAACATCTTGATTCTAGTCAAACATCATTGAATAACTGTAATCTGAGCCGTGTTCAGGTTTCCAAAATGGAGAATTTTGAACAGGTGGTTGTTGAAGAAGACGTTCCGAGCAACCCGAAAGGCCTTTCTAATAGATATCAAGATAGTAAATCAGATTGTAAGGAAACTGTTATCCGGGGAGAAATAACAAAAGCTGATTGGTTATTTCAGCTGTTGTCAGGGTTATCTTTATAGTTACCCTACAATTCCAATCAATAAGTTGTCAATCAGTCAAATTAACTTATATATTTCTAGTCCAGGCCAGAAATCCTTAAATTCTTATCCTTAGTATAAGTTTAGACATGTTATTCCTGTCGTGAGTGTGTTGCTAATAAAATTGAATTGTCAACAGTCAAATCTATCTAGGGCATGGGACTTAAACATCAGATAAGTTACTACACCAAAAAAGGTGAAAAGAGGAAATCAGTGTCACCTCACTCTTATGCATATATGCCTGACAAGGCATTCAACTTCCAATGACAACTAAGTGAAGCACAGAACAGAAGTTGGTCATATTTATCAGTAAACACTGAAAATGTAGTTCTTCTTCTAGTGAGCAGCTGGGATCACAGGGACCGTTTGAGATTACAACAACTGTGCAACCTATCATAAGCAAAAGATGGTTTCCTCTATACTAGATAGGAAATTACTTCATTAGCATTATATAGCTGAGGTGAATGCCTCCAGAAATAACGGTTGTTTGGAAAAATAGAATACAAAACGTTTGAAACTGACTGGAGAAAATAGTAAGAAAAAGAGAACCAGAAGTCAATTTGCAGAAGATAAATTAGCTTTAGTATTATCCAAAAAAATGCATTGTGACCACAGTTTCATTTTAATCGTACATCATATCACATATGTTAAAAATAGTTGATGGTGTTAGTATACATTGTACTGGGAATATTTCTGTAAATATTTTCTCTTTTCTCATTTATTTGTTTATCAGGTGAGCTACTGAATATCAAAGACGCTTACTCCCATCCTTTATTTTATCGTGGAGTTGATAAGGAAACCGGATTTCGGACACGGTGAGTATATAACCTTTCCTTTCATCAATTTGAAATGCAAACTAGACATTCAGTATCCAATTTTACTCGAATAGTTTCGAGATATTTACGGAAACTAAGTTAGATCGGTAAAAATTATGGCTACTTGTTTTGTTTCTAAATTTGTGTTTAAAAAGGTTTCATAGCGATTTGCCGCAAAATTCACCACGAAATGTCAATCCGCACCACGTTATTTTCATATAACTGAAATGAGATCTTCAAAAGCAGATACTGAGATAAGTTGTGAACATCGTGTTTCAAAGAAACCTTGAAATGTAGTCAATGTAACCTCTCTGAGTGAATCGACACGGCTTCTATTGGGTATGAAAGAACTACATGGTATCTAAAAGGAGATTTTGTATTCACCATCAGTATTTGTACACCTATCATTGTTTTGCGTCATTTTCCAAATATACATTTTGTCATGAAATGATATAGCTACATATTGTTTTAAAAAATCACCACATGATTAAAGACATACTTTTTGCATAACTGAACTTAAGGACAGTTAACCCTTGCTTTAAAATTTTATAGTTCTTCGAACTATGCACTATAGAACCTTTATGTACAGATGGGCTTGTCATTGACTATGTTATGATCTACATGTTTAGCAAAATACGTTACGGCTAAATGTATCTAAACAATGTTAAAAAGAAGGGTAAATTACTGTTTTATTAAGAATAATCCCAAACACTCCTGAATTTAATAACCTCTCCTCCCAATTACCAGCTATCAGGGAAACAAAAGGTTCACTAATAGTGTTAAAATATCTCTCAAGTGTGATGATATTACATGAGAAAGTGAATTTCATGGCGAAAATTATAATATTGATTTCGTGACCCACCAGCATGGTTAATCATCAGCATGTTGGTTTGCATGCTTTGAGGAGAACATTTAAGTGTCTCAGAAGATTTCGACCGTAGACGAAGCACATTATTTATTTGCGAACAAACATGAAGTGAGATCCTGCTTTGAGAAAAAAATACATATATAAGGGAAACATGAATTCAAGTGGATCATACGCAGTCTAATGTTTTAATAAAATAGTATTTACGTTGTGAAAGTACTTGCACATCTTTGTGCTAATTACTTTTCAAATTAATGTTACCTTAGACCAGAAAAACTGAGGTTAGATAACTATTTCGTAGCATTTATGCACTACTATGACTTTTATCTGTAAAGAGGGTTATCAGAGGCACTAAGGGATAAATTTAACTTCCTTACTTTTGCTGAAGAAAATGAGGATAATGCACGTCTTTTTAAAAGTGTAATAAAATTGCTTTTGCTGTTTTTTAAAAGGACTATTGGTTCACGAGATATATATATTTCTGTAGTTATCACGAATATAGCTAGCTGAAACATATTTTAATTTTAAGCTGATGCATTTCTACTTATTACTACCTTTACACAGGAACATATTATGCTTTCCGATAAAAAATGAAAAGGATGGTATTGTTGGAGTTGCACAGTTGTGTAACAAAATCAATCATCCCTTTTTTACACAAGCTGACGAAGATGTGGCCAAAACCTTTTCCATTTACTGCTGTATTAGTATTGTTCATGTAAGTATACTCACAAAAGTATAATATATCTTGAACGGCGAAAGGTACCTGAATGAGATTATATGATAGATCATGACGTTGAAATCACACAAAAGCGCAGATATGCAAATACGATGCACTTTCCATTATCACTTCACAGTATAACTAGACATTTGACTGTTGACTCTAAAAAACAGTATGGTATTAATTAGCCTGAATTTCACACTGTAATATCAAAACGTGTTTCCAACAGTATAACAACAGGGCAGTTTTTATTACATGTCCAGAGGAAATCATTGATGAACAAGATTTCAGAGGGAAATAATGAGTATGAAATACAGGGCTGATCAAGTAAACGAGACTGTAAATATTGTACTGCTTTATTCCATCGCAAAACGTCGCTGGTATAAAGTTAGATCAAACTAATTCTTAACAGTCTGAGACAGTTTGTCTGTAAAGACCGTAAGTTGCACTAATGCAACATGGATTTCCGTTAACACCTGTAGTAGTAAACATACGCCATTCAGAAAAGTCCAGAACTAAATGAACTAAAGCTGTTTAAGCAAGTTTTAATATGATAACAAGATATTCTATTGAGAAAGCTGTGGTATATACAGCGAAAAGTTCGGAAAAATCTTATTTCCGACAATCTGAACACTCTAGGACTATATTAAAACTTACTTATATGATAAAAAGCTGTTTAAGTCTGATGTTGACGACACTAAGAGCCAGATTTTGATATTTCTTAGTTATTACATCCAAGAAATGGATCATGGGAATCGTTATTGTACTATAGCTTACGTACAAGGTGATACTGCTCTTGTGATTAGAAGTGAAATTGAATGATAGCACTCTTCATGTATATGGGTTTCGTTGGATATCTTCATACAAGATCTTGTAATATCAATTTCTTTAAGCGCTCATGGATTCAACAGAAACCATAATAATCATGAAATAAAGCTTTTTTAGTACAGATTTCTTTTTTTTAGTCACTGATGTACAAACATGTTCAAGATGCTCAACATCGTACAAAATTGGCCAATGAATTGATGATGTACCATATGAAGGTAAGCGTTATACAATATCAAATATGAAACTGTAGTTAAGACATATTTCTGGGTAACTACATGAGAAGTATCCCATTTCCTTTTCCTTGAATTGGTAGTCAAGATGGTAAATTTAAAACCATAGAGTTGAGTTTTATTTGTGTTCCTAGAGAGTGAAGATTATGATTTTATCGTGGTGTTTCGGGCAATGATTCACATACACTTAGAATGCAATTCTCTTCACGGGACACATCAGTGAAAAGAAAGGTTAAGTACAGGTGTGATGAGTTACACTGATTGAACTGGATATTATGCACTGAAACCGGTAGCGATGTGAAATCACAGTTAACTTTTTCCGGGCATAATACTTTATGAGTCAGAAACACTTTTTTGCTGAAACTGCCCAAGGAGCTTTCTGTCAACCTCTGTCATTCTTAGCACTAGATGATGTGTTAGTTCAGCAAACCAGTCGCAACGTTCCTGTTGCAGAAAAGAAAAGGGATTCAAATTCATAGGCCATAAAGTCGAAGCTAATTACCATCATAACGTCTTACCTACAACTAATTGTAACCACAGTTTTCCTTGGTAGTGATTAACTGAAAAAGCTTTCATACAGCCGAATTCAGTATACGATTGTCACATGAATTAAAAGTAGTTGAAAAAAATGAGAATAATTTGCATGATAAATTTGTTTCGCCGCAGAAAAAGGGAAAAGTCACTGTTTAACTGACTTTTTACTGTGCTGTCAAAAGGTTTAAATTAAAAACCTATGTAAACAGTAAACTAAATATCGGTTGCTTTTCGCCAATATGTGACGTGCAACTGCAGAATGATTAACTATACATCGGTTGCAAACTAGTGAATTACATCTACATAAGTTGTGTATTCTTTTGTCAGTTCAGTGAATAAATCGAAACAGAAATTGGAAAACTCTCTAATCAAACGAATCAATAGTGGAAATTTGTGGTAATAAGAATGGTAGTTGTCAGTTTTTCACTTAAATACATCTATAATTTACAACTTTGTAAAGACATTTTTCAACTTCTATTTAAATCTCTATCATATTACATATCGAATACCATGTGGATATAAGCTTCTTAGTCATAATACAGCATTATATTTCGATAATATTTGCACAGATATGACATCGATTGAGAGCAAGTCAGGAACACTTAGAATCAGTCTACATCTCATACATTCACGATGAAAGTGAGACATGGTGTTCTGATTGCAAAGAATATGACTCATTAACTTTGTTAAATCTTAGGTATAATTGTAAAGCCTTTTCTCACTTAGGTTGATGAAAATAAAAGGAACTGGTTATCAACTTGTGAAATCAAAGATATCAACGCATTTCTACCAAACACTAGCTTATTCGAGTCTTTACCCCGAAATATTCAGTCGGAAGATGAAACATTCCTTGTGAGTTTCTACTTTTAGTCTAATTTTCAGTACATTTTCGTTAATAGCTGCCCCTAGTTGAATTATTAAAACAAATGTAATACAGTAAGTGAAATATAATGTTTGAAACAGTAAAAATAATATAAGACGTTCCAAAATCCAGAGTTCAAACTTACTTTTTACCTACATCTAAAGCATTCAGGCATTCTCTCTGTAACTACTGAGTGACGTTTTTCAGTATCATCCGACCTGTATACTGTTTCCTCGTACATAAAATGAGAATTTTTGATTGACTCTGAAATCACACGTAATTTTCCTTTCGATTTATTACCACTATAGTGATCATGTGTATTTCACCTTACACTTCAGATTTTTCAACCAATACTAAAAATCGGTGTGAAGTATTCTTGTGGATCGATTAACGTAACCAAATTTTCATTTTTACTAGTTTTTCTTCCGAAGTAAAATGTATGCTGTGCATACTTTAAAGATGACTGCCATATATTGCAAGTAGTCTCACCTATCTGATCATATAAGTGCTTCAAAATTTCAATTTTCGCTATATTCGATTTACTACATCATTTAGCTAAGATGTTGATATTATTCAAAAATCTTTTTCTCCTCCGACTCCTCAGCAGACTTGGGTTTTATTTTCTAAACATATTTGGAGTAAATAATTTGGCCGTCTACATGTAGTATCACTGACCTTAAAAGTTTAACAAATAAGCGATACAAGTTAAAAGAGAATTATTCTTTCACATACTAACCGTAAATATAAAAGTCTTAACATCATTTTTTTCTTTTAAGAAACCTTCCGTATGACATGTTTGATAATCAAATTAATTAAACTAATAGAATAAAGAAGAACTACCAAATTTCAATAATTCATGGTATTATTAAGCACAAAAAACAGTGAGAATAACGATCAGTTGGCTCCGTAAAAATATTTTTGATGCAGTAAAGTCTGTATCTTATTCAAAACTGTATTTATTGTCAGAAGAAGCATTGTGATAAAGAGCAACGTATTAATCCACTAATGATTTGTGAAAAAACACAAACCAATAGAGCTAATTTCTCTGAACTGCAGAATTAGAATTCATTATTCTGTAAAACGTTTTTCCTTCACCATAATTCATCAAAGTGCATATGACTTTAAATCATGTCTAGAAATGCATTATGACTTTTTAGTTACCGTTTCTGACTGGCTTGAACCGAATTAACATATGAGCTTCTGTATTCATGTCTTGAGTCTCACTACAAACAACACCACTTACTAGACTGCAAGTACATCCAGATGAATAGTTTTAAAGTGGATGAAAAACGCGTCCTTAATTCCACCGATAATCACTACCTGTCCTAGTTAGGAAGTGATCTTTTGAAATACATTCAGGTGAATTGCACCATTGCTTGTTTCCCATACTTGTCTATTTCTATTTGAAAAAATAACCTGGATGATACTTCATACTTCAGTTGCTACACAGAAATTAAATGTTTACAGGCTGGTCACCGCATTTTACTTCACTAGGTGTAAACTGCATTCATGATGTAAAATACCACAAAAACGTTAAAATTATAAAGATTATTACCTTCTGTTTGAAAAGGGAAATACTTGAATTCATGTAACGACTAGTATAAAACATATGTATGTACATCTGGTAGGATATCAGAGTTGGTTAACGTACTGCTAATAATGTTGATCTATTGACGTAATTAGAGCAAATAGTTAGTATTCAGTCACCTTGTTTAGAAGTGGGTTAGACGTTGAAAAATTCTCGGTCAGCTGAATATTTGTAACGACCTTCCCGGTATCAGAGGACGATTACTGAAAGAATAATTACATTACATGAATGCATACCCTCCCAGACAGACACAAAAGAAAATGGAATGTTATCAATCACTGAAGAAATTTTGACATCTGGTAAACGGCTGTGACTGTTTTAGCTAATGTATTTTCAGATTAAACATTTTATCTAACCATTCAGAAATACGTTTCTAGAATTACCTTGTCAAACTCTTTTCATCTTTTTAAAACCGACACATTTTGGAAGACTAGGACAAAGCAGTTACGTGTAATGACAATTTGACTGAATTTCACATCACTGGATCTTGTCACCTCTTTATTTCAGTTATCATTTTGGCCAATACACTTAATTTTATGCTTTCATATTTTTGTTACTGGAAAACATTTATTTTATATGACTGACTGAGCTACTTTCATAACTGATAGGTACTGAACAAGGAAAAAGCATCACTGTTTCTGAGTCCATTCATTATTCTGACGGTCAGTAGTTGTTTTAACTAACTACCTTTTAGATGGTACTATTGTGAGTCCTGAGGCACGCAATTCACTCGCCAGTGTTTAGGCCAAAGCTTACCTAATTTAAAACTGTAGTGTGGTAAATCAATAGCGACTATTTTTTGAGAAAGTCATATATTGCTTTTAACCTGATTAAATGTGTAGCAGTGAAGGTCCCTTAGTGTTGCACCTAAGTTCAGTATCCTTTACACGTATTTCTACATAACTTTATGAAACGGATACGCCTATTAGGCAACAATTTATTTCTGTAAGTAAAGACAGTACTTCTTACTACTCAATTATTATTATTATTTATTGTAGTGTACACTTAGCATGTTTCACGATTTGGATTTGATTAACCGTTGGCATATTTCACGACGTAAATTGGCTCAATTCATTTTGATGGTTCGTCGAGGTTATCGTGAACCAGCATACCATAACTGGATGCATGCATTTTCTGTCGCACATTTTGTTTATGTATGTGTTAAAAATTTACCATTAGCAAATAACCAGCTGTATGATATCGAAGTGTTCGCGTTACTTGTTGCATCATTATGTCACGATATTGATCATCGTGGGACAAATAACAGTTTTCAGGTAAGCAGGTTATTTACCTACAAAACTACTACAAATGAATTATACTATTATCATAGAATCATAAAATTCCAAATCTTAGCAAAATACATACAGGTGTTCGGTATCTTCATCTTATGGACATGTTTTTCTAAAACTTGGTCAAAATACAACTACTTCAATAAAAATGAGGGTGCCATTCAAGATATAGTCATTCAAAATATCATACCTAAGTTAACAGTGATGTTTTTTTACACGAAACCTGAGGTGTGTAACTGAGTAACCTAACTGGTTTATGCTTGTGCTTTTCTACCTGGTGCTTTGCTGTGATTAGAACAAGCAAAATGTAACCAAGTTCGTTAGTAAAGTGAAAGGACCATATTTTAGTTGCTATAAGAATTAAACTGCGTGAATAGCTTCATACACTGTTTGGTTTGAAAACCTGTTTAAACGTTTACTGACTGTGACAAACTTATCCCCTCCTATCCCTTTATACGTATTTCACATGCTCATAATGGTCAACTACTAAGATTATATAGACTTCCAGTGATTTCGATTTTGTTATTACCACCTTTATCTTTAACCTTTGATTTATATGCTAGAATTCAGTTAACCATATTGACAACAAATGTCTATCCTGAATAAGTTAAAGGGTAGTTGCAAAGCTTGTCAAGAACTTACTGAAAATACCCATTCGCTCTTAACTTCGTTTTCTGATTGCCTCAATGAGAATATTTAAATTATCACGTATGTAGCTACAACTGCTCTGACGTTCATCCTCTTGAATTTCACGGAGTCAGTATAGGGTTTGAAGTTGCAATAATTACTCTGACATAACAGTGATTTCCTCATGGAATATAAGCAGCTAAACTTTGAAATAGATTCAGGGTTTTTCAGTTGAGAAATAAACATTTCTACAAGAAAGTGTCATGTAAAATTTTGGTAGTCCACCCTTACTATTGTCGGTAACAACAATTCTTTCATAGTTGGTAAATTTGCAAACCTATCAACTTTGTGATGACATATTCGCATGATATTTCCCTGCTGACAACCTGCTAAAAATTATTATTTGTCCAGTTGGGCTGCTACTACAGTATAGGGATTCAGTAGCACGTCTACATTTCACTCTCTTCTCTCCAGTATTTTCAACATAACTCCACCTCTGCCCACAAGCTCTCATTTCTTCCTCACACCATCTCCTCCATGTCACCCTCGAATCAGACATCCAACTCATCGTTTCCTTTTCGGATTCCACTCGACGACCTGGCCTGGACTGGTCTGATCTGGTCTGGCATCGCCTGACCCTGTGCGTGATGTCCTCAATCCGCCTTCTCAGTGCAAGCACAATCCATCTCCACTTCCTTCTGCAAATTTGTTGAGCAATAGCTTCTTGGTTGATTTGTTGCCAGCCAGCCAGCCAGCCAGACTTCCTTGTTGATTATTCTTATGATTCTGGCCATCTGATCACATCTTCAGTATGGAGTAAGCGTAGGCAGCAGGTGTTGATGAATGTCTGTGGTTTGTTGGAAATGCTTTTCGTAAGGCGACCAATCTCTGAACCATATAGGAGCACTGACTTGACTGACACTGATGATGAAAATCTGGATCTTGTTGACGCTTTTGTTGACTGAGGTGCAGTGTAGTGCAGTAGATCTCCACACAGGTTTCAGGTTAATGAATGCCTGTCTTGCTTTTTCGATTGTGGTTGGTTTTGACATCCTCATCTGTGCCTGCACCACCTGTAGTTGAAACGATGCTACCTGGGTGGGTAGGTAGGTAGGTAGGTAGGTGAAGGAGACTACTTCCTTCAAGTTTCTCCTGTTGATGGTGATTGGTGCTGGTTGTTGTTGTTCGTGGTGGCGGTGGTGTTGGTTGGCTATCTTCTTCACCTCTGTCTTCTCTACATTCACTTGAATAGTATCTCGTCTTCGCTGCCTCATTTTCTCTGTCAACTTGTTAGTTTTCGCCTGTAGATCTTCGGGTTTATGTGACATTAGACACAAGCCATCGTTGACGACATTTAAATCTTCTAGGTTCCTTTTCCCTGTCCAGCCAGCGTATCTCCCTCTTCTCGCTCCTCAATGTTTGTTGTATGATCCAGTCGACCACAATCAGGATTATCATGGGTGATAGTAGGCAACCTTGTTCTATTCCTGTTTTCACTTCAAGGGGGTAATTGAGCTTTCCATTGTGCATTACTTGGCATGTGGCGTCTTCATATAGTTGTTGAATGAGATTGATAAGGGTTTGTGATACTTAAACCGTAGTGTTTAAGCAGCTGCCTGCCGAATTACTTGTCGGTTGACGCTGTCAAATGCCTTTTCAAAGTTGATGAAGTTGAGGTGAGGTAGAGAGTTGACTGCCCTGCTAAGAATTAATAATTGATAAATAATGATATTTCTTGCCAATGAATGTGTATTTTATGATGCAACTGTACAACTTTAGAGGATGACGTGATCACAAACAAATTTGTTCATTGAAATCTTTCTTTCCATATTAGATTTCTTCATTTGATTTATAACACAGTGATCTAGTATTACTTACTTGATGATGTTTTGAGCATAAGTTATTGCTCATAATCATATCAATGCAGTCAGACTACCACAATGCCCAAGTTTTACACGTATATGAAATCTTTCTTTACTTAAATTATATGCAGTGGTGAAACAAATACAACGCTGGGTAGTGTGTAATGTATGACATAACATCACAACCGATGTGTCATGTTTAAGTTTTTCAATGAATAAGGAGACATTATTTATTGGGCTACTTGTAATTCTCCGTTGTTTTATTGGGTTGAATTGTTCGACGGCTACTGACACATGGGTTCCTATGCGGATGCCTCGATATTGCCTGGATGTTAATTATGGTAATTTGCTTGGTTGTGGCTAGCAGAAGAATCAAGGAAGAAGGATACAGGAAACAGTTTCTCTATGCTTTTCATTTGTTCATACATATGTAAGTAAGAAGCTATTGAGTGAAGCTTTCCATAGTATGATAGATATACGCATATTCACCTAGCAGTTACATTCAAAGAGCGAAATAATAAATTTTTAAACTGGTTCATGTGCTATACCTTTAGGTATTTTTGGTCTTTTTTCGATAAAAAAAATAGTTTACTTCATAAACTTCTAGACCTTAGTTGTTATGAATATCCTGGAAATATGCTGGGCACTAAGTTGATCTAATCATTATGAGCATATTTCAAGATAATCCCATCCTGCTTAGATATTTTGAACAAGATTTTTTTGTTGGCTCGGTTAACATTGTGTTTTTTAATATTCCTTTTATAAACTTTCTTCAAACTAGGTGCAGTCAAGATCTGTTTTAGCTGCATTGTACAGTTCAGAAGGTTCAGTTCTGGAAAGACATCATTTTTCTCAAACTATTTGTGTACTAAATACAGAAGGATGCAATATTTTTGAAAATGTTTCAAAAGAAGTGAGTTAGATTTCAGTTAAATTTGAATAATTACAATGTCAAATATTTTGTCTTTACAAGTACAGTATGCTCACAATTTGTTTATTTCAGTTGTCTGGTATTTTAGGTAAAGTCTGAACATATCATGAACATGAACGTGAGTCATACGACTCGTGCTTATAAGGTTGGATTCCTTAGTTTAGAGTTGTACTTCTCAAGCGACTTCTGTCCTCTATATTTCGTTGCATACACAATACAACATTAGTATGAAGACACTTAACTAGCAAACGAACACTCTCTATGGAGTCTCACGACGAGAACACTCAGTAAGTAGATTCGTTAGATGATATGGAATAAGCGTGTTTGCAGACAACTCTCATGACTTCATAAACATGCTAAGCTATGGTGTACGTTTTCATTCACAATTTTGCATTGCCTTTTTACTCACATCGTTATCACAAAATGATTTAAAACGCTTTTTAATGCGTTATATCATTAGATATCCCTCACCTGGCTAACTAGTTCGCTGGTTACTAGCCGGTCCCAAGCCCGGGTAAAGAGGGAAGGTTGGGTGTAGGGCTAGCAATCCTACCCCGTAAAACAAATCCAACCGCTAAAGAAACTTCAAAGCACAAGCAAAATGTGAAAAATAAAAACGAATTTATTCCTCGCTGGAATCGGAGAGGCGAAATGATGCCGGTTGGTGCAAGCCTTCGGGAAGCCAATTGGCCGATGCGTCTTCTATTCTGTCGATGAAAGGGAAAGTAAACGTGGGGACATGAAATATTTGCACAGTGTTTCAACCTAGTAAGGCAGCCCAGATTGCAAGCGAGTCAGGCCCTCGAGTGGAACCCCGATTGGAAGCGACTAGTTGGGCGTCCGAGAGTGACATGGAGGAGATCGTGCGAGGAGGAAATGAGAGCTACTGGGCTGTCATAGAGCCAGGTTCAAAAGATTTCAGAGAACAGAGCGCATTGGAGACATGCTATTGAAGCCCCATGTTCCATTAGGAACCCAAAAGGCAAATAATAATAATAATAATTTCTAAATTTGATATCAGCAAACATTTCCTGGAAGCACACAAGTGTATAGCTCCCATACTTATCATCAAACAGCTTTGTCTGAAGTTTCTTAAATGATACGGTAATACTTTTCATCATAACACAGTGATACCAAACCTAGATTTACTGAAGACCAAACTTATTTCAACTCAGAGGGTGAATGGTAACTTAGTGAACATGAGACATACTGATCACAGATCCCATCCCTCAATGGCTCAGCAGTACTCAGGGCTGAATACCTATGAACTCGAATATTGCAACTGCCCAGTAATTCTGAGGCCCTAACAATATTCTGGACAAAATCCACCCGAGATATACAAGAAGTCAATGACGTTTTTAAAAGCAAATCAAATGAAAAGTTAATTTGAAATTTGAGCTTAAAAATTTAAGATTATGGTTCATGTCCATAATTAATTACTAGATTCAGTGGTAATTCTTGAGCATGGAAATTTGCTTCATTGTGACTAGCGGAAGAATCCAGAAGGTGCGTTTCGTCCTGTTTGGGACCCATCAGTTTGATGTACCTGTAACCTGTTGTGTGATGTTTCTCCCTCCGAGAATCGAACCTCATACTCATCGCTTAAAATGCCAAGGCGTCATCCACTAGGCCGCGGAGCCAGACTAATTCGATCCAGTAAAACAATGGAGAATTACAAGCTTACGCATGAGTAGTAATAACTAATACCTGTTGTACAAGAGGTGGCTATCGTTCCTCCGTAGCACAGTGGATTGCGCCTTGGTGCCTGAAGCGATGGGTACGAGGTTCAATTTCCAGTGGGGAAAACACCACTCACTGTGGTTTAGGTACAGCTAGGTGGTGGGTCCCAAATAGGACAAAACGCGCATCCTGGATTCTTCTGCCAGCCATAACCGAGTAAATTGTCATACCTAACAATCAGGCAATATCGAGGCATCCACATAGGAGCTCCTCTACCAATAGAGATCGGACAATTCGATCCAGTAAAACAACGGAGAACTACAAGTAAATCCATAATTAGTAATTCTTAACTTGAATATATTTCTTTATCTCGAGTAAAATACTGCCTTATAAATAATGATGGAGGGAAACTCAAGAGCCTAGTAATCATCATTTTGTACAGAAAACGTTTAGTAAAACGATGGCTGGTTTTTTATTTTAGGTCTCCTAGTAAAATGTAGTCAGCTACAGGAAAGATTTACGAGTTGTTTTGATCTTTACAAATATACTGGTTAGACTAGAGTGGGAAAACGTTTTGGTTCTTGCGCCTCTATGAATGCAACTCACTTTTTCACTGAATATGTTTGGCTATACAAGTTAGTACTTTTAAATTACCAGTTTTTCTCATCGGTTTATCAATGTTTCTTATTCCCTTTTTGTGTTAAGCACTTTGTTTTCATTACTTAAATTTAGTTATACTAAAGCAAATAAATATAAGAAATAGTTTTATTTTCCCAGACATAAATGTGAGATTTGAGAGTTAGTCTCGAATTCTTGTAAATAAGATTAAAGTAAAGGTAATTTAAACATTAACAGAAATGTATGCAACAATAATAGGCATGAAGTAATCTACTTCAATGGTATTTGAGAATTTTACGAAGTAAAATGGAATATTCGCAAAAATTAATCTACTTTAAGAAAATTGCTATGAGAATTTTGATTTGTACTCACTAATTATTTGTGATGAAATTATTTACAGCCATTGAGCAGAAAAATGTTATATGTTTAGTAATCAACTTTACATCACTAAACGTCTACTCCATACTTATTTTATTCTTTTAGAAAGAATGCTGAGCTTATTTGCTTATTTTTTAAGCTACAGCATAAAATAAAAAGTTTTATCTCTATCTTTGTGATATAGGACTATGGTCAGCTGTTAGATCTTATCCGTGATATAATTCTTGCAACTGATTTATCCCATCATATTCGCATAATGCCTAAATTGGAAGATCTGGCTGAACGAGGATACGATGGAACAAAGTCAGAAGATCATTACCTGCTTTTATGTCTTTTAATGACTTCAGCTGATTTAAGTGATCAGACAAAACCATGGAGCAATACAGTTCATGTGGCTAAACTGATTTATGAAGAATTTTTTCAACAAGGTGATATGGAGAAATCACTAGGTCATAATCCAGTTGATAGCATGGATAGAGAGAGAGCATGTGTGCCAAATTTACAGATAGCTTTCTTGGATTACATAATCATACCATTGTACAAGTAAGTTAAATAATATTCTTATTTATACAGTTTCATGCAGTCATTTAGCAGTCGCATGCTAAAGATGATCGTAGCAACCAGTTCCTCATCTTGGGCGTTTCAACTTTTGTTTAAAGCATAAAAGTTTGAATGCAGATATTCACTGTTCAGTAAAACCACAGCTTCAAATGTTAATGTCTTCCTGTAAATTAATTTTTATAGCACTATCTAACTATCTTCAACACGAAACTATGTTATAGGAATTGACATTTCTATGGGGTTTCGCTTTCCTATTTCCGACAGTCCTATACGAAAAGCATTCTACTTGGATGTTCATTTGAATAAGTGTTTGACGCCATTCTTTCTATTTTACCATCAAGTAATATTTGTAATTTTTTTATATGCTTCAAAAAACATTTAAGAAGTATTTAACAGTCCTTAATGAATACCAGTTTTCACCTCAGCCTCTTCAATCAGCGTTAGAGTTCTATGAATCTCATCATCGCAGTCCTATTGATTGATTTAAATATCAATAACTGCAAATGAGAAAGTCTAGTCTTTAAATACCTTTTGTAATTATAACTTTCTTAGAAAGACAAAGATTTCTGAAGATCTTAAAATTGTACTTTGCAATTGAATTCAACACCATGAAGCGTATCACTGAAGATCTTAATGGGAATCAGTCTGTTTTGCAATAAATACTAAATATTATACCAATGCTTTGAAGTGAAGACAGGAGTGAAACAAGCTTGCCTACTATCCCCCATGATAATCCTGATTGTGGTCGACTGGATCATGCAGCAAACAGTGGGGAGCGAAAAGAGGGGGATACGCTGGCTGGACAGGGAAAAGGAACCTAGAAGATTTAAATGTCGTCAACGATGGCTTGTGTCTAATGTCACATAAACCCGAAGATCTACAGGCGAAAACTAACAAGTTGACAGAGAAGGTGAGGCAGCGAAGACGAGATACTATTCAAGTGAATATAGAGAAGACAGAATTGATGAAGATACCGCACCAACAACTCCAACAACAACAACAACAAACTCCAGTCACCATCAACGGGAGAAACTTAAATGAAGTAACCTCCTTCACCTATCTAGACAGCACTGTTTCAACTACACGCGGCACAGGCACAGACGAGGATGTCAAAGTCAGAATCGGAAAAGCAAGAGAGGCGTTCACTAGCCTGAAACCAGTGTGGAGATCTTCTGAACTCAGCATAAGGCGGGAACAAGATCCGGATTTTCAACACCAATATCAAGTCAGTGCTTCTGTATGATTCAGAGACTTGGCGCGTTACGAAAGTGATTTCCAATAAACTACAGACATTCATCAACAACTGCTTACGCTAGCTCGTTGCTGAAGATCAGATGGTCAGAAAGAACAGGCAACAAGTATCTCTGGGAACGAACCAAATATGAACCTATCACCCAACAAATATGCAGTAGGAGGAAGTAGAGATGGATTGGGTAGGGCACACACAGAGAAGGCCGACTGGGGACATCACGCTCTAGGCCAGTTGCTGGAGTGGAACCGCCATGGGAAGCGACAAGTTGGACGTTCGAGGTGAGGGTGACATGGAGGTGATCGTGCGAGGAGGAAATGAGAGGTTGTGGGCTGTCGTGGAACCAGGTTCAAAAGATCTCAGAGAACAGAGGTCAATGGAGACGTGCTAGTGAAGCCCTATGTTCCATTAGGAACCCAAGGGACTAATAATAAATAATAATTATATAAATGAATGAAGTGAAACAACAAACTTCTTTTAAAAACTGATAAACGTGGTGTTTGGTCAGTATACAAAGTTTTCGTAGGATTCAGAGAACTGAGTTATAGGTGAAATGAATGTAACAATTAGTGAAAACTCACTTCTACATACTGTAGTTCACATAGGCAGAAACACGGCAGTAAACGTCGTATAATTCTCTAGTGATTCTACAAATATGGATACTTTACATGAGTTAGTAGTTGAGCATATACATTTATACGAAATAAGGGATAACAGTTTTGTCTCACCAGTTTATTGCAACAAGTCATTCAGATATCAAATAATACCGAAATTTATCAAATGATCCATTACATTAAGTTTTGAAGTGATGCATTCTATGAATCATAAAGCGCCCCTTTTCTTCACTGTGTAATTCAAAAAAGGGAGATTTCTGATAAAATCTATTTACTACGACCAGTCATACAGTTCGATGAAGTCTCAAAAACGTATGAGGGGGAAAGGACAAGAATTTTTACAAAAATAGAGGTTGCATAAAAAACTAAGATAAAAATGGCTTTTGTCAATCAGAAGTAACCCGTTTAGCGCGTAGTAGTGAGTGAGCTTTTTATATCATTTACATTAGGCCAACATTAAATGGAACCTCTCACTAGGTTTCTAAAAAATATCTGTCATTTCTCTTCTACTTTTTCCTTCTGTCAAACAGGGTCCTGACTACTTTGTATCCACAATGTTCGAATATCTTAGATACTATAGAGCATAATCGTATTAAATGGAAAGCTATCCTTGAACTTGTTGAAAAGGGTGAATTAAAAGGCCATGGTCTGGAAATATTCAATCACAACCTGATAGAAATATCCTCGCAATTAAGTCAATGAACACGCTGTCTTCACCATAATTCAACCAATTACTATCGCCACCAATAACTTCAGCAGGACTGTCATTATCCTTTTTGCCATCATCAGATCTCCATTAAGCTATTTCTTGTGATACAGTACTCTCCTTCTTTCCTTCTTTTTTCTTTTCTTTATTGCTTTCATTTATTTCGGTCTATCCTATCTATGAGTATATATATATATATATATATATATAGCTGTACATAAATTAATTAACTGTTTAATAAATATTTTATGTGAATATGGACTTGTGAAGTGAAGTATATATTGCACGTGTAAAAGCTACTTCAACTGGAGTCATAATGTTCCTTTTCCCCTACGCCGTTCGTGACAAACGTGTTGTGCTACCTATGGTAATGATGGGTGGTGGCTAGCAGCGGAATCCAGAACGCGCGTTTCGTCTGGTTTGGGACTCGTCAGCTGGATATACCTACTTCCCACCGAATTAAATTGTGTCCACTGTTTTACCCAGAAACTAGTTGTAGCCAAATAATTTTTTCAAGCATGAACCATATCACTAGTCTTCCCGACATGAATTGGGTCGTCATTATCCTAATCGAAAACTTAGTAAGCATGATAAGTTTCGATGCTAAGGAATAAAACGTCAGTCAAAAAATAGGCTAAGTAAGATTTTCAAACAGGTGATCAAACTTAGATTCCATATACTGAAAATCCAAGATGCTTTTTTAAAGGCAACCAAATTTTGGATGTAGCGCAGGAAGAAATTCACTATTTTAAATTGCATTCTGTACTAAATCAAGTAAGTTTGATAAAACTCACTTCTAGGGGTAATTACCATTCATTCTGAAGTTGATCCCCAAAACAAAGACACGTTCTATGAATTTCTATGGTCGTCCCAAACTAATTTCAAGACAATAAGTGGTAGATACGAAATTTAAACAGCATAATAAGAAAACGAAAATTATGTGAAACTTATGAAGTATTAGCCCTATAAATTTCGAACATTCTGATTGCAAATAAATTTGTCGAACTATTTATATGAAAATTTACGGAAAGGGTCAGTGAAGTCAATAGGAAACATAGGAATAGGAAGGGCAGAGGAAAAACAAAATCTTAATCATATTAGTGTTGGTATGAAAATTAAAATCAATGCTACCGAGGTGAGTACAAATTGTTTTTGTATACATAAATAGAGTTTGCTTTTACAGATTAAAAGAGATTCTATAAGTTTTAGAACTCGGCCCTGACCACCTTCATGTGGTAACTTAAAAGTTATGAATGACAGGCAATGCCTAGCAATGAAATACATGACACGTGTTTCGTCTTATTTCGGACTCATCAGCTGGATGTACCTGCCTCCCACTGGGTGATGTAATTCCCACTGGGACTTGAACTCGGGACCGAAACGCTCCAAACGCCAGAGCGCTATCCACTTGACAACCGTACCACGATAGTCACTTCTTATGAAACGGGTATAGTTTTGGTGTTGCTGCTTGTATTATCCCACCGTGGATCCCACTACTGGCTACTACCCATCATTAATATATAATTGAAGCACTGGCAATATCAAGGCGTCCGCACAGAAGCCCATATACCAATCTAAACCGATCATTTCGACCCAATCATCGATGGAACAATACGAGCAACAACATTATAAGCTGTTTTTATGTCTACCCTGCGGTTATTTTTTAGTATATGTTTAGCGATGGATGAAGATGGTCGTTTATCAGCTGCACTTGTCGCATCTGTTGAGGTCATTTGTTGTTGAAACCAATTAGGTACACGTTCAACCTTCCTTAACTGAATATCACGATTAATCCTCCCTATGTATGTGTGTCCATACACACATAAAAATTGATAAACACAATGGGATTTGATGCAATCGTTTATATGTTGTCTCGGTTTGTTATGCAACGTGGACTTTGTCCTCTCTACAGTGCTGAACTTAGCTGTATAATATTTTTCACAGATGGCTAATTGAAGCCTTTCTCTCACACCAAAGCTATCTGAATCATTTCTAAGTGGTTGTGAGATGTAGACATTTATCTTAGCAACAGAATGCTGCAATGTAACTTTTGCACGTTTCGATAAATTTTAAGCAATAGCCATTCTATCTGTGTTTTCGTCATTAGCTTGGTTTCTTCCTCCTTCCTTTCATCGGTGCAAACGTGGTTTATCCTGCTGAATATGCAACTAACTGAACCAAGTTTATGTTTTCATATAAATAATTCGACAAGTTCATGTGTGATCAGACTGTTTGAAATGTATAGCGCTAATACATCATATATTTCAAATAACCTTATTTTTCTCACTACGCTGTTTATCAAAGTGACCAGTTGCTTTAGATAAAATATAACCTTTTTAAGTTTCTGAATCACCAGTAATACACTGTTTATACAACGGAAAAATTATAAACCTTCAAATTTTTAAAGAATAAAACGCATTGCGTTGTACGAATCAATCTGACTTACTGCCCTACCAATCTTGAAAACATACTGACGTATACAGATCCATTATTAACTTATAACACTTATCATATTGCACCATAAAAATATTTTGTGTCTGCCTGAGTCAAAATGAAAGACAGCAGAGTTACACTGTTCAAAGCTCGGAATATACAAATAGAAGCTAACAGTCTTGAGAAAACCTGTAGTTTTAGTTTATAAAATTCAGTGATATCACCCATCTTTATCTATGAAAGGTTAACATGCTTATTTTAAGGTTTTTCGTTGAAGTAACACAGTCTATACATTCCGCCAAAAAAAACTCTTCATTAATGTGTTGCCTATGGAATAAAGTACCATTCAAAAAAGAAATAAAACTTTTAAAATATATGCAGCATAATCCAGTTCATAATTTATCATTAGATCAAGCTCGATTAGGAAGGGGCGAAATGACGAGAAAATGAACACTGAAGTTTCTGAAAGACTCGACAGAAAGTTGTAGTAGTAGATTTCATTACTGTAGGAGAATTAAACTGAGTAATCGGCTGATTTCTTTTAGTTTCTCTTATTCCTATCAGAAACCCACTGACAAATCCTCACATAATTAACTCTAGACTACTACATCTGAATAAGTGCTGAAATTAGCACAAAATAAGGCATCGTTTTTACAAGAGTGTATAGATATGTAATCAGTATTCTGTCACGTATTTGATGTGATTCTAAACGGTTGTGTGAAGTTTGGTGATAAAAATATTTCAGCTTCAATTCATGCAGACTAATACAAGAGGTAAAAAGTAAGCAGGTGATTTATGTGTAAACTTATTATTTTAATATAAATGTGTGAAACTAAAGGCCAGCATTTGTTCTTGTGAATAGTTATGAATTCAGTCAGTCACCAGGAAAATAGCAGTAGAAGGAAAATAGAGTTAATGACAGCGTATGAAGTGTTACAGGGAAGTTGTAAACTTCAAAAAGTGAGATCTAACAACCCAATAAATTATAGATACATGAATGTTGTTATTAATACTCAACTTCATTTGTGATTAAGGTGTGAAAGTTGCAGTTGCTGTTACTCATCATCCAGTAAAAGAGAAAATTACATCATTGCCAAATATTGAGGACACAGTTCATTTTTAAAAAGTCCCAAGTGAATTATCTTGTGGTGATTCTCTTTTGAAAAAAAACTAAAGTTTCGTCAATAAAAAGTTTGTTCCCTCACACAAATTTGAAACAGGCAACTGAATGTGAAAAAAGCAGGATCTAATGAATTCATTCATTACAATATTACTCATCACCTGTGTAATCGACATACTTGATTAGATATATCGTTAGACAGTGCAAAAGAACATACAAACATACATATATATATGTATATATGTAACTTAGACTGAAACATAGATTTAGTTGTCACAACATAGAAATGAACAGTTTGTTTAGGTCAATTGGTAATCCAAAGGGTAGAAATGGATGTTGAAAATTCACTGGGTTGGGAACATGTTACATGATTAAATGTGAGTTCGAATAATAGTGAAGTCTAAGGGTCATGTGGATTTCAGGTAGGAAAATAATAATAATGGTGGCACAAGGGTGAGAACTGAATCGATTGAGCGTAGATCACGTCACCTAAAACAAGTTATTTAATAGAACTCATGCAGACATAATAAGAAAACCAGGTGTATATTGAGATGAATGCAATCGCAAAATGGAGGCAGAGGTACTACTAAAGAGTCTCAGTTCATGCCACCCAAACTTGATCCTTGTGTTTGAACACAAGGAAAATAATATGATTAGTTTCTTGGATGTCTCATTAGTGAAAAGAATCTATAGATCTATCGAAAGGTCTATCTATAGAAAACTTTGATAGGCAGGATACTATCTTCATTTAGGGAGTTTTGTTTTGATTCAATCCAAACTGAACGTAGTCAGAAAGCTGTCCGACAGATCCAGGAATGTTAGTGATGGATCGTGGCTAGCAGTGGAATCCAGGATGCGCACTTCGTCCTATTTAAGACTTGTCAGCTGGATGTACCTGCTTCCCAGTGAGTCATCGTGTACCCACAGGGAATCGGACTCGGGAGAGATCGTTTCAAACGTCAGCGCGTTATCCACTACACCACCGAGCCACGATAGCCACTTCTTGTGCGACGGATATAGTTTTTCGTATAATTGTTTTTATATGATACCGTCATTGATTGGACCGAATTGATCGGTCTCCATTGGCATATCAGCTCCTGTGCGGGTGCCTCGATACTGCCAGCGTTCTAATTATGTCAATGATGGATCGTGGCTAGCAGGTACATCCAGCTGACGAGTCCCAAATGGGATGAAATACGCCTCCTGGATTCCACTCCTAGCCACGATCCATCACCAACATAATAAGAACTCTAGCAATATCGAGGCATCCACAAAGGATCCCATATGCCAATAGAGACCGATCAATTTGGTCCAATCAATGATGGTACCATATAAAAACAGTTATACTAGATCCAGGAGTATTTGTTCCTACAGCATACTAGATTACGAAATGATGACTTTGAAAAACGCGCCAGTGAAGAGTGGGTACTTAGAAAGCTTTATCAGCAAAGACGTAAAATGGGTACAAAGCAGTACAACATCCCTAACAGTACAGAAGAAACCAGCCTATATCACCTTGCCTTTGGAAGGTGACGACATGCTAGAAGTGGTTAGATGAAGACTAAAGAAGTCTATCCGAGGGACTTACTACTCTGTTAAATTTGTCCACTTCATCACCAAAAAGGTACTGCAAGAATCAGGGAAAGATAGGGCTCGGATTCTCAAGACATCGAAGTGCATGTATCATTTC